TGATTCAATTAAATGGCAAGTAAATATTAGCATTTAAATTAACAAAGCTAAAGTGATAAATGCCACTATGGTTGAATTCGCAGAAAATGTCTTTCTTAAGGTTCATTCACAGCCAAGTTCCTCGCTGCACTTAAAAATTAAAACAATTTTACCGACACTTTGTTTACACGGAATCCATGATGGATGGAATATTTTGCAGTCCGAACCCGATGATATGTGACACTGATCTATGTCGTGGCGGATCCAAGAGGCACGTGATCACTGCATGGTGGCTATTGGTAATGTCCAATGTATGTGGGCACCATTTGTAAACGTTGGTTTTAATAACAACGAAAAGTTGGTTTCGATTTCACCAATGTATTAATACACTGCCTGACTGAGGTCATGTTCTCAAACAAGAGTTCATCTACTGCGGGGTTGCTGTACACGTGCCTGACGTGGTTAATATCGTCGTTGGGGATGTTGATACTTTAGATATGCTATGATAATATTCACACATCGGGTAATATGGATAGTCCAGGATCTATTTGCCCTGATTAAGTTCATATTTCCGACGTTGGATGGTCAAAGGAACACAAGATGAAGATGAATATTGTTGAGACTAAACTCGATGCTGAGTTTCAATGGCTGACGGAAGATGGAAAGGAAGAGCAAATGCACATGCGTAATGGATGTGACTAAATGAAGTCAGTGCATTTGAGTGAGAGTTATCTCCCCTGAACTTTTTATCTCTATTTGTCTCCATAACGGGACTTAACTCATATTGAGTTAAGTCGGATTATTGGTCAAAATATGCAATTTTTAGCGGGGAAATGAAGGATTTTCTTTTAAATATCTTTCCACCACAAGAAATAATTCCCTATAAATCTTGCTTGTTTTTTGTGTTTTTAGCAGTATTGTATTGAATACTGAATAATTTGCATCATTTAATATTTTAGTTATAAAAATTAAATTGTAATAAATGTTTTTGTACATAAATATAAAACCTATACTGTATTCAATGTTGAGTATTCTAAGCATATCAGAACGGGAAAATCTTTGCGTAAAAGTATGTAGGGCTGAAGTTCAAATATGTTACATTTTATAAATGTGTAGATTGAGCTGACTAGATCAATGAACTCACTAAATGATACACCCCGCCTCCTATATGATTATAATGATTTTCTTTTAAATATCTTTTCACCACAAGAAATAGCTCCTTATAAATCTTGCTTCTTGAGTTTTTTTAACAGTATTGTATTGAATGCTGAATGATTTGCATCGTTTAATATTTTCAAAATATGTTATAAAAATTAAATTGTAATAAAATAATGAATAATGTTTTCTGTAAAAAAAAAATTTAATTAAAACCTACGAGGGACGTTCAATAAATAATGTCAATTAGCTCGATGGCATACAACATAGAAATCATATGACATTATGCTTGGCTTTCTCTCATTATTGAATCTTTAATGAATGGAAAACAGTTTACGTGACCACTTTCCATCGCATTTTTTCATTGTAGGAAGCTGGAAAACAAGGGCTATTTGAGACACTGCATTAAAAATGAATAGTCAAGAATCAGTAAACTAAAGTAAAATTAAACGCTTCATTAAAGCAGCTGTAAAACTTGTTAAAACCCCCAAAATATATTAACTGAAATATGTGAAATTTACAGCAACCAATGTCTGTTTTACAGACACGTCAACAGGTGGATTTCAGTAAACAAAAATATATAATGGGCGTCAAAAATGGGTACCGTCCTTGGCAACAAGGACTTACAACAACCAATGCATATTTGCAAAAATTCAACACTTATCCACGTTTGTCTAAAATTCAAACGGATAATGAAACTTGGAATTCATTTTGTTTTAAACCCTCAAAACAAATTTACAATAAGATGCACTTGACAAAACTGCAAAGGCCTAAAACGAGCAAAGAATTGCAAGAGCACAGAAACAGTTTTATATACTATTTTCTTAAATGTTAGCAGTCTTATTGTTAAAATTCATATTCGGGGAGGAATTCAATTTCCAGAGGAGTCTGGAAAACAATTTTTTTTTTAAATTGAAAGGATTATGAAAGGAAGAAAACAGAATGAGGAATTCACTACATTAAATTTCTTTATGACAGCGTCCAAATCCAAAGGCCATGAAGAGTAGAGGAGTTTTGGGGATAAACAGAAAGTTAATGTTTTGTCACACCAACAAAATTTGCCAGATCTTTCAACCTTTGACTTATTTTCATTTCCCAAACTTAGGTAAACATTCTATCAGAAAGAAAAAAAAACAAGTACAGCAAATCATAGGACATGCCAAATTCCCGTATACGAAGGTTCATACTCAAAAATGAGTTCTTAAACAATTAGAAATTGAATAAAAATGTTACGGACACGTGTTTTAATTAAAAGAGAATATTTTTGTTAAATCATTCAGACTTAATGATAGAAAAGCGTTTTTATTTGTTTCTTTCCGAGTCCCAATGACATTATTTATTGAACGCCCCTCGTATACTGTATTCGAGGTTGAGTATTCTAAGCATATCGGAACGGGAAACATCTTTGCGTAAAAGTATGTAGGGCTAAAGTTCAAATATATTAAATTTTATAAATGTGTAGACTTGAAGGATTTTCTTTTAAATGTCTTTCCGCCACAAGAAATAATTCTTTATACATCTTGCTTCTTTTTTGAATTTTTAGCAGTATTGTATTGAATGCTGAATAATTTGCATCGTTTAATATTTTCAAAATATGTTAAAAAAATTGAATTGTAACTAGAGGTACTGTGAGCAATGAGCTCACTAAATGATTCACCCCGTTCCCATATGATTATAATGACAAAGTCCCTGTTCTGCTCTTGGAGACCCGAAATAAATGTCAGATCAAAAAGTAAAATAGAAGGTGCACAATGGCATCATGTAAAAAAGAATCTGTGAAAGTATCATTAAATTTGTCCATTGGTATAGGAGGAGTTGAGGATAAGAGATGGGTACCCTTCAATACTATAGAAAAAGTGGCAGTGTCAATGTTTCACTTTGGAAAACCCAAAATATGTGTGTCCGATCAAAAAGTGAAATAGGAGGTCACAATGGCATTGTATCAAAAAAATCTTTGAAAGGCTCATCAAGTTTCATTCAGTGGTGTAAGAGGATTTGCGGATAAGAGATGGGCACCCCAAAGCGTAATAGACAGGCGGACGGACGTACAGACAGACGGACGGACGGACATACCGATTACTATATACCATTCCGCTTTTCAAGTGGAGGGTATAATAAATGGTTTTAAAGTAAGAGGTTCTGAATGAATTTTTCTAAAACAAAATGATGAGAGAAATACCTTAAATGTATGGAATACCAAATATGCAAAATCAAAAAAAAATACATGTGTATAAAATACATAGAAGAAGGATATGAACATCAGAGGTGGGATCAGGTGCCATGGAGGAGTGAGCATCCCCTGCTGACCGGTTACACCAGCAGTGCGCTCCTTGTCATGACCGGGAAATAACCGAAATGATTCGCAATAAACATTTTGCATGCTTAAATTCATAAATTTGGCGATCAACTACATAGGAAAGTTTTACTAATGTCTTAGAACAGCGAAACCCGTTATGCATAAATTATCCCACGTTTCCAACTATCATTGATATCGGTATGTCCCTGGTATACCCGATAAAGTAGACAGTGATTCCATACATTTAAATTTCATTGTGCCTTCATATAGCTCATGACCTTTCGAATGGTGAAATTTACATTCAGAATGAGATATAAAAAAATCAACTCACTTAAAGGGACAAGCTAAAAAAAAACTTAAATTTTAAATTATTTTTTCCATTTTTTAATGTTTACAATAACTTAACTAAGATATTTTTATGATTTTTAAAAAATTGAATTTCAGTTGTCGAGATACAAGACAGAAAAAGACCTCCAAACTTTTGTTTTATTTAACAAGGCCTGTGCCATGATTTTATTTTCATAAGTTAAAAATACTACTATTTATTCATTCAAAGCAGATTTTTAAAAGTTAATTCTTAATACGATTAGACACTTTCTAGTGATTTTCTGAATCTTTTTTGTTATAAATATATTTTCTATTGGTAAATTATAAAAACAAATCACAAGCCTTGTTTAGATTAATATGAAGAATTTTAAGTACTGTATCTCCTTTGTAAATCAACAAATGATGTTCAATTTCTGCTGATCATTTGAATTACTTTCATTAGGATTTGTAAACATTAAAATTATTTTTTTAAAAATCCGTTTAAACTGTCCCTTTAACTTTCAAAGATTTATCGCAGAGAAAACAAATAGAAATTGAACTAGAGGTACTGTGAGCAATGAGCTCACTAAATGATACCCCGGCCTCCCATATGAATATAATGGCAGTGTCCATGTTTTGCTATGGGAAACCCAAAATATGTGTGGGATCAAAATGTAAAATAGGAGGTGCACAATGGCAATATGTAATTAAGATTCCGTGAGCGTTTCATTAAATTTCACACAGTAATATGAGAGGGGTTGCGGATAAGAGATGGGTGCCCCAAAGCTTAACAGACGGACGGACGAACATCCCGATTTTTATATACCCTCCCGTTTTTCAAACGGAGGCATAACTATATTAAAGTATGATACAGGCAAAATCCTGTTTTTATTTATTTATAGGTAGGTATTCACAAGTCAGTGTGGTTTCCTCGGGGCTTCGAGGCCCAAATTCCCAAACTGTAGATTTCAGGATCTGCGGATCAGACGACCTTTATGTATTCTTTGGAATATTTGTTGAAAACAAAATATATAATAAATATAAAGTAAAGATGGAAGACTTCTGGGTTAAAAAAAAAAGAAACAAACAAACACATTTTCCATGAAAATTTTATTTATGTGAAACAGAAATTCACAAATAGTGAACACATTCGTTATCATAATAAGGATTTTCAAAATTCACAATTCACAATTTTTTTTTTATTATTTCACAGAAATCAGGTGCATAGTGCAGTGCAAATTTAAGGAACTGTGACATAACAAATATATAAAAGAAATATTTGAATATGACAATAATTCTTAAATGCTACTTGTAGAAAATTTTCAGTAAAGTTCACAATGGAGTATATCTGTGTTGTGTTTAACATAGCCATGGCCATACATACCGGATATTCCGGTCAAAGACAATATATTTCTATTTCTTCAAAATCATTCAAAATGAAAGACATCGATCAAAGCAAGTTGCAAAACAAAAACCAGAACTATCCTAAAACAAATTCTCGATAAATCGTCCATGGAAGTGGAAAGGAGTATTAAAAGGCGTGTAGGATTTGGCGATGGGTTTCATTGTTTTTGGATCAAGTATCAAAAGATAACTTTTGGCTTGATTTCCGTCCAGAACCGGCAGCATGAGGACCCCATCATCCTCTGCTGATCCGTTTGGATCCGGAACGAACCAGCCTTCCATTGGATAATGGCCCGGAAGAGACCAAGACAGGTCACCAGTAGTGTTGCAAAGATCCTTTTTGACAATAGAAAAATTACCCCAGGTCTTAAAGTCGCTTTTAAAAACAGGACCGTAGATATAGCAGTAGTGTTTTGATCTATAAAGTTCGTTAATGGTTGGCATATCCAACATGTTGACGTGGGGGACTTTGGGGTTAACATCAAAAGAATGTGGAGTTATTTTTTCTGCTTTCAAGTCTATCTTAAATCTTTTCAAAGAGGGTTTATATGGATAGGCATTGCGTCGTGTCGAATTCATAACAACATTCATTTCAAAGATTGACGCAACTGTAGCATCTGGATAGGATGCAACATCCATCAAAATGGTGTCTTCGTCCATTTCATAAGCATTTATATGATGCATCGTAAAGACGTTATCTGTTTGTATCGTCGTCACCTTTCCTGTTTTAATGTTAACTATATATGTAAGTGTAGGCTCATCTTTGTGAAAAAACATGCTATTTACAGGGAGATGACCTGACAATATTTTCTCAATGTCTACGTAAAAAGGACAAGCTAAGATTATAGCGTATCTTTCGGTGACTGAAAAAGAGTGTAAATATGGCATTTTCTTCACTTCCCACTCTGCAATCTTTTCGCGAATATCTGCAGACTTTGTTCGGACAAGGGTAAATTTACTGGGTACTGTGGGTACAATGCTGTTACTTTGGAGAAAGGTTAGGTGATGGTTTGTGCCGAACTCTTTTACCGGATGTGCCACAGACAACAAACTAACGAAAGGGAAACCAGTGTTAACATTTGGTATCGTTGGATTGCATTCTCGTATTGTTTCTAGTGTATAGCAGTTGATTACATACAATTTCCACGCATCCGTTAAAATAACACAGTCTCCTGAATAGTTGTAAATGTTAACGTTCATATTGTCCATACCATGAGCTACCGACATTTCCTGTTCCATAAGAGTACGGGGTGGGACAAGATTATCGAATGTCTGGTAACTGGCGACGTCATTTATGCTGAGTGATTCTTTATAAGACTTGCTCTGGACAAACTTGGCAGAGAAGAAAGCGGATCCATTTCCTGGGAATTGCCATGAATATAATTTTGCATACCCATCAAATACGTTAAGAAATGAATGTTTTCCCATTCCATATCGTGCAGGCCCATTTCTAACCTAGGAAAACAAGAAACCTCAAATTGAAAAAAAATCAAGTTATATGTATTTCTATGCATTTAAAGGATTGAAAAAAAAAATTCTTACCAAAGACCCTTTGATCCATTTGGGAACAGGGTTATCGAATGTTAATGGTTCTTTGTGAGTTTCATTTAAAACGTCGGTTCCAAACAACAAATTCCATCCAGGGTGATCAGCTAGAGTTCCAACGAAACATATCGTGAGTATTATGTAGCGAATCATAATGAGGCTCTAAAGTAAGGATTTGTGCGATTCTGGATCAAATGAAATCTGAAGAGTCAAATGAGCTGGCTGGCTTATGTACCCTATCGCACACTATCATTTTGATATAAAGTCGACTACACCGTGACGCATTTCATATAAATTGATAAGCCTTTATTTACTGCTAGTATCTCAATGATTTTTTTTGGGCAAAATTCAACATAAAAATGATCAGTACGAGGAATTTTGTTAAAAACTCCAGGCCCCAGGATCATGAAGCATTTTAAGCTTTAGTCAAAATCTGCATGTTGTATTTAAATGTTAAAGTCAAGCAGATCAAAATAAAATTGAAATATGCTTCAACATTGATTCATTTAAGTGTTCTTATTTACAAATTTTGAGATAAATTCAGTGATTATTAAACATTTAACAGGCGATTGAAAATTGACTTAAGTCTAAGTCTGTTTCCTGATCCTGGGGCCCGATAATTATTTTTTATAGCAGTTATGACATTTTTGGTTCAACTCTCGTAGACATATGTAAGACTCCAAGGTCCGATGGTCTCGCCAAACCCCGACGGTCTGTGCCAAACCCCGATGGTTTGTTGTCGGTACGGACGCCAAAGTCCGATGGTCACGCCAAAGTCCGATGGCTCGTTTCCTATGAGACACGCTGCGCTAAAGTGCGATGGTCTGACACGCCAAAGTCCGATAGTGTGGAGAAACAATTGACGTTTATGACGTAACAATAATTCGACGTCAATCCTTGACGCCCTTTTCATGCATTCAAATGCCTAATTTCCGAATTTATCCTTGCATACGCTTTTATTTTATTTTTTTTTTTTTGGTGAATTGCTTACATGTTTCAGAGATATTAGGATTAGTTCTCGCACACCACTCAACTGATAAGGGTTAGCCCTTTTATAATTGCTTTGATTTAGATTTAGTCCTCGCACACTAGTCAAGTTATAAGGGTAAGTATCGCACTTACCCATGATATCAAGATATCTATGTAGTTGTTAGACCTACACATTTTTCGAGTGATTAGGGTTAGTTTCGCACCTATCCGAGAGATAGGGGTTAGTTTTCGCATAGTGATAATTATTAATTCTGTCTTATTTAAAACCTTGGCATGGTGCAGCATTTTAGTTTGGCGCATTAGTACTATGACATCATAAACGTTAATTGTTTCTCCGCACCATCGGGGTTTGGCGTGCCAAACCATCGAGGATTGGCGCAGACCATCGGACTTTGGCGTGACCATCGGACTTTGGAGTCCCATCGCACTTTGGAGTCCTACAATATATTAATGACTCACTTTACATGTACAATAAATAAAAAACAAACAAAATGAGTTTAATTACTTTTTTAAAAATTTGCCCATTTTTATATGATATCCTCTAATGAAACATATGGAGATAACGAACTGTATTCAAGGTCAAAGGCCTATAAAAAAAATACAAAATAGGAGCAGAGCAAACACGGACCTCCGAAACAGGTGAAATCAGGTGCCATTGTGGGGTGAGCATCCCCTGTCGACCGGTTACACCCGCCGTGTGCTCCTTGTCATGTTCGGGAAATAACGGAAAAATCCGTCGTCAATTCAGTGTATAAATAAATTTTGGACTAACAATAAGTATGAAAAACGTCAGTCAGCATTTGACTCAATGATAAATTGTATTTGCTGAAAAGGTCATTGTATCCACCATAGAACTTATGAAATGACGACTTTAAACGAGACCGCTGATATTCTTGTTTCTATCTAATTATGATAAGGTTGAGACATTGCATAGAATTCCTTCAGGCAGCAGTGTTTCAGTAGTTATCCTAATTTGACCAAATTAGATAAGTACCTTTTATTCAAGTGTGCGTTTATGGACAGTATAAGCTAAGACTGAGTTTGTTAATTATAGTTTGTACATAAAGGGGGCTGGCCATTTGTATAATTAACATTTTGATTTAAAAGCAATTGTAGCAATTTTTATGTATAATAACATGATCTGTTGCTTTTGAACGCATTATTGTAAATATAAAATGATACATATACAAAGGCTTTTCGGATATATTGAGACATTTGTTTTGAGTCTATAAAGGTAAGATTTTGTGAAACCTGGGCCCCCGTTTGGTAGCTTATGGCTAAGGTTTAAGTTTCTCAAATACAAGTTAAACTTCAGAGTGAAAAGGTCAAAATTGAAAGTCTTGTCACAAGGAATATACTTCCTACTATTCAGAAGTCATGGGCGAGATTAAAGTTTCTTTTAAGTAGTTCAAACTCCAAGGTCAAGGTCAAAATTATTTACACCCATGAAACAGTCTTTCAATATGAATAAACAAGTGAACTAGAGGTACTGTGAGCAGTGAAATCACTTCATGATACCCCTGCATCCTATATGGTTATAATGGCCAAGTCCATGTTTCATCAAAAAGTAAAATAGGAAGTGCACAATAACATTATGTAACAAAGAATCTGTAAAAGTATCATAAATTTTCATTCAGTGGGTTAGAGGAGTTGTGGATAAGAGATTGGTACTCCAGATTACAGAAAGAATGACTGTGTCCATGTTTCGCTTTGTGAATTCAAAATATGTGTACAATGAAAAAGTAAAATATGAGGTGTACAATATCACCATGTAACAAAGATTCTTTAAAAATCTTATTCAATTTCATTCAGTGGTATAGGAGGAGTTGCGGATAAGAGATGGGTCTGTTTCAAAATTATAGAAAAAATGACTGTGTCCATGTTTTGCTTTTGTAAACTCAAAATTTGTGTCCGATCAAAAAGTGAAATAGGAGGTGTACAATGGCATCATGAGACAAAGATTCTGTGAAAATCATTAAATTTCATTCAGTGGTATATGAGGAGTTGCGGATAAGAGATGGGTACTCCAAAGCGTAACAGACGGACGGACGGGTATCCCGATTACTATAGCGGGTTATAAATATGATGTACCTAGCTATATAGCACCAACGTTTTTACAAGTTATTGCCAATATTAAAGTTGGGTATATTTTAGCAAATATAGGGAAAACTCCTAGATTAAAAGGTCAGATATGTTCGTATCCAAAGGAAGGTTCTATCACAAGGAATACATGCCCGGGATATGAAAGCCCTAGTCCTAACCAATCAAAAGTTATGTACAAGGTTATTGTTTTTGCGGACAAACAAACTAACAGACAGAAAAGCGGCTAGACAGACAGACTGACTGAGCAAAAACTATATACTCCGAATCTTCGATTAAGGGGGCGATAAAATCAAACAATATTTTCTTAAACAATTCTTTAAAAATAAAATAAATGTGAATTGTTGTTACCCCACATCTTAAATTGCATAAAATGTCGCATATATGTTGACTGCACCGTGGGTCAAAGTTATTACACCTCCGCTTGAAAAGGGGGAGATTATATACTGATCGGTGTGTCAGTCGGTCCGTCTGTTATCCGCAATTCCTCCTTTACGATTTAATGAAATATAAGGAAAATTTCACAGATCTTTGTTACAAAGTGCCATTGTGCACCTCCTGTTTAACTTTTTGATCCGACACACATTTTGGATTCCAAAGAAAAACATGGACACGGCCATTTTTTCTATAATACTGAAGGGTACCCATCTCTTATCCGCAACTCCTCCAATACCAATGAATAAAATTTAATGATACTTTCAAAGGTTCTTTATTACGTAATGCCATTGTGCACCTCTTATTTTACTTTTTGATTTGACACTTATTTCGGGTTTCCCATATCAAAACATAATAGACTTTACCATTATAACCATATGGGAAGCGGGGCTTTGATTTAGTGAGCTCATTGCTCACAAACATTATTATCATTGATAAGCTATTTATTTTAAATTAGAAAGAAATTATCTAATTTGAATTTGAACAACACATTTAGAATATAAATGATTACTTATTCGAACTACATGAACATGAAATGAAAAACATTTTTTATTTCATTGTAAAATCTACGAAAATATCAGAGAAACTTTTTTTCATAATGTTAAAACACTTTAATGAAAAATCATCAGAGACAAACTGCCAATTTTTTTAATTTTTGCTTTTCACTAAAAAACAAAAATATTTATATCAATCAAATTAATGTTCCATCATGCGCGTTATCTTTAAATGCTTATAGTAATACATATATAAAAGTGACATATAGGTCCAATGGGCCGGGTGTAATGTATATACGTTTATATTGCATCTATTTGTTGTCTATACAAATGTCACTATAATAAAATATTTACTTACTTACTATTTGAGAATCGGCAGTTCTAAATTCACAGTTATAATTGGTTGTGTTATTATTTTATATTATTTACTTATTTGGCTGAAGGAAAGAAAAAATCAAAGCAAATATATAGTGTTTCTCATGTTTGCTAAATCAGCTGTTCTTCTTTATGTTCCTAATTTTCGAATTTTAATTCGATTATTACATACATTGTATATTTACTTTGACAAAACAGGTCATACTGCAATCAAAGTTTGTAAATGATACCCAAATTTCTTTTATCTTATCATTTGCTCTACATCATACTAAAAACGTAGAATATGTAGGAAAACCAGTGCATATTATATTTAGATGACCAAGAACTTACTGATAGGTTGATGTTGAATGGAGAGCCGAGAAAAAAGATTTCTATCACATTTATGATTTATAATTATTATGCTTTTATTTATGTTTGTGTAAACATGTTTCAGAAATATTTATGGAATTTTGAAAGCAATTAACGTTACTGGAGTTTTGAACTTAATGTAAACTAGAGGTACTGTGAGCAATGAGCTCACTAAATGGTAACCCCGCCTCCCATATGAATATAATGGCAGTGTCCATGCCCCAAGAAAATAAACTGAGAAAAGACTTAAGACAAAATTTCAAATCAGTGTAACTTTTAAAATAAATTTCAAAATGAAACAAAATGTTCAAGGATATTTGTATTCAAATATCTAACACACTTGAAAGTTTTTAGGCATGTTCATTTAATAATAATTGAAATATTAAAAATCTAACTTTTGACTTAAGTCTATTCTCAGTTCATGGCCTTGGAGCCATGTTTTGCTTTTCAAGCGGGGGGTAAAATTTTAGTGTTACATTTAAACATTTATTTCAGCATTTCAGTGAATTTTTTCCTCTCATGTCGAGAAATATTGTTACTAACCTTAAAGTTAAGTGTAAAACTAAAGCTATAAAAGTATATGAATAAATGCAGGAAGAATTATTCATTATAATTATTAAATTAATCTGGTCATGGTTGTTCGAAGTCCGAAAACTATCAATCACTTTCTGGTGCTAAGAGTGTAACAAACAGCGTGTACCTTTTCGTCAAGAGGTCATTACCTTGTATGAAACTCCAAAAATAGATTTAACACAGAATTCATACATATCTGTAACTAAACATTGAGTAATTAAGGAATTTAGAACTTGGTATCAGATAATTAATTGTAGGTCAGAACAGCCCGACGCGGAGTGTTTAAAGTCAATATGGAATATATCCAGCGATTATAAACAAATTCAGACACGTTAATACACAAAAGGTACAGTTTTTAATATTGAGCAAGTATTTGCTCTCTTGAACTTTTGAAAAGTTTCCAAAACCATATTTTGAGAATAGACTACATAAGTCTATGTTTTTATAACATAATTGAATTTAGCAACGCATATTATACAATATTTGATTTAGAAATTGCTTAAAAAATCGTTAAAAAGTTAAAAACAAAATTTATTCGGGACTATCACCTTTGGTGTAAAGATGTTTAAGAGAATTGTTTTTAAATCTACAGAATTCTTTTCATTATGATATGGTGATAATATTAAATAAAGGTTTAATTTTATATTTTAAGAATTTTTTTTACATTCAATAATATATTGTTCAGAAATGAAAATTTATTGAAGACAATATAAAATTTACATTTTCACCAGAAAGTTTCGTACATATACATTGACCATATTTCAAAATTTATTTTCATCACTGACTCATTTTTTCTTTCATAATTTTAAACTAAGTCATAAAAAGCTTGATACAAAAATATATTTTAAAATGAAGTAACACAGTAATATAACACATAAGGTCAAAATGATTAATCTTAATGTCACAATTAACCACTTCTGTGCCACACGGCCGATTTTGGAGGCCAAGTTAATTGTACTGTTCACCTGCATATGGGGTACATGTAGTTATCTCTCAGTTTATTTGACATTCAAGGGCAATCTATATAATCGAAGCAATAATCATATTTTACCTGTCACTTATAACAAGTTGATAAATCAAGGATATTAAATGTCTCCTTTAAAATCATCATTTCGTAGGTTCTATGTTCGATACAAAGAAGTTGTCAGCAAGTACAATCTATCATTAAATCGAATGCTGACTGATGTTTGCTAGAACATTATTTGCACTGAATTATATAAGGATTTTTATCGTTTGCCCGATCATGACAAGGAGCACACAGCGGGTGCCATCTATCGGTAGGGGATGCATTCTCCTCCAAGGCTCTAGACCCAACCTCTGATGTTTTAAATGTCCATGAATTCCTACTGCAGATCACCGAAATGGAATTACGCTAAATATATTTTCGAAAACCATTTCGATCTTGAATACTGTTCGTTATCTCCATATGTTTCATTCCAAATTCATGTAAATTCACATGCATGTTTACATTCGATCTGAAAATATCGCCCGTATAAAACTTACATATTCATTTCTAAATGAATTTAATTCATAAAATGATGCTTTCCTGAAACACTTTGCTACTGGTCACTCATAATCTTCATCTGTTGAAAAAGGGGATCATTCACAATTGTCTCAGAATCGGTTAATGCCATTATGTGCTTAGCTCGTTTTCTTATGTGTAGGTTTGCCAAAACGATAAATAAAATATAATTGGGGTTCAATAAGGATACATGTATTTCCTTCAATAGATGAAAAATTTTGGACAATTTTAGTCATCATCATATACTGAAAGGAAAAAGAAACGCAGGGTAGGATAGTGTTCAAAATTTTTTTGACCGCATGACCGAAAACTACGAAAATTGATCAGGAGAGAATGTTAGTTACCATGCACCAAAATCCGTGTTCAGAATTACTCAACCGTAAAATGTATGATGTCACGTAGTGGAAACGCTAAAAAGCCCAAAAAACGTGCAAATTGATGACGACAAGTTTGTCAACAAATCTTGTTGTACCATTTGATGTACCTGAGGTTTACACATTGTTTTTCGATATTTACAGACAATATGAATTTCTTGCATTCTTGGTACAGCTGACGGAAGTTCCATAGGGGTCTGGTTTTCAAATTGCCTAAGTAAGGACAAAGGCAATCATGGGTTACTGAGCAGTTTCTTGTAAAAATTTCCCCCATAGAACGTGTTACCCGTTGTCAGAGAGGGCCTGGAATGATTTCCAACCAACTGTGACGATGACGTTGACGCGTAACAGAGCCACTTTAAGATCGGGTTATTCGTCCTGCTACCTGTTTAATCGCCACTTTACAACCATAAAACTGCTATTGTTACACTTGACTTTCATAATCATTACATTCGCTCCAAAATTGAAAGAAACGAATTGCGCGATTTGGGTTTTTGAGTCGCTCAACTCTATGTTTGTGTTCCTCTCACTAGCGCATGCGCGCGTCCATTGACTAATTTTTCGGCTTGGTTTCCATGCCAAATATTGCCAGTGTTTGAAAGAAAAATACTCTGATGAATTCCATGCAAAGAGAATCAAGGCTGTGACAGATGCGTCGGGGCAGAAATTGAAGATAATGAGTTTTCGATTTTCACTTTTAGGGGGGTATCGTCAAATGAAATGGGATTTTGGTTACATTTTCTTTAAAGATGATTTTGAAAGTTAGATAGGAATACTGAAAATTAAAAAAAAAATTAAATTGAATTCACCTCAAAAGTTTACCCTGCGTTTCTTTTTCCTTTCAGTATATATCTAGAATGGTTCCTGTCAACAGTATCGTCTTAGGACAATACCTACGTTGACAAAATGCTTTGAGTATCAAACAAGTTGAGTCAGAAACCAGATCGAGACTCGTTTCTTTACACCTTAACCTAGTCCTCTATCAGATATATTAGAGCTTTAGAACATAACTGCAGTTTTTTTAGCCATTTTTTTCTGTTTAAGATGACCAATCATTTCTATAAACAACCTGAAAAAAACTACATCCGAGGCTCGTTTTTCACTGTGTTGCATATTTTTAAAGAGAATTTGTACATGTATTTTAGTTTGATATTTATGGAACTAACGATTGCAGACTCGGTCTCATGTGGAAGCACAAGTCCTCTGAGAGGAAGGAGAAGGCAATCAGCAAATTGATCCCTTTGCGTCCAAAGCAAATTCAAAACTGGGCTATGTGATCCGTTTCAGTTCATTATGTAAGTAACACATAAATATTTAGTAAATCGAGAATACTGTAAAATCACATATTTTCATGGGGTCAAATTTTCGTGGTTTGAAAAAAAAATCTCTTGGTTCGTGTGGATTTAATTCTGTGGATCAAGAATTAATTATTACTTATGTATGTAACATTTTACATTTCGTGGTGGACATGAATTCGTGGGTCTCCTCATACCTCGAAAACAACGAAAATTAACCCCCCACGAAAATTTATAATTTCACAGTATTCTTGAATTCATATTTACAAGGAAGTTAAAGTTACAAATAATTTGTATCGAAAGCTACTGTAATCTTTACAAAAGGTGTTTCTTTTCTTTCCTTTATGTTATCATAAACGTCTTTGGCCTTGCAGAGAGATAATGCAGGCTTTTGTTTCCTGCTGACCTACATTTGTTCTGTCTTAAAAGTCACAACTCTGTGACTAGGAGACATTGTTGGAGAAACAGCCATGTTGGGACCCTTGTTATTGTTTTTGCTGCATTTTCTGTGCCTTGTTGAAGCTGATGTTGTTTGTGTTTGCAAAGAACTGAAAACAGGTAAAATAGAACCAAACGGTTAGTTTAGTTGTAGATAATATCATGATTATGGAATATAGGCAAATTAGCTGAAAAAAGAGAAAATCTTGTAACAAAGATAACTGAAATTAAATATAATAGACACAATATGGCGTGAAAATGAAACAATCTCTGGTCGAGAAATGAAAACAAAATGTTTTATTATTTTTCTATATTGTTCCTAATATCTGATTGGCTCAAACTGGATCACATGATCAAGTATAAAAAGTGTTACAGACTGGATATTTCTATTTTTAAAATTTATAAACCTGCTGTTTCTAAAATTGGAAACGTTCTTCTGTCAAGCAACAATAGTGCTGACGTCACAAGTCTTTATGGACTGGATGTTTCTAAAAACAGTTACTGCAGCTGGTATTCATTACTGTGATGTCATAATGCAGATGACATAACAATGCCTTACATGAGAAGATACTGAGTATTAGAAAGAAGGATTTTTAGACATTTTTTAATTAATGTAAGTCATTATAGATGCTGTAATTTTTTTGACAGAGCAATTTAGCATCGACGAGTGTAACAGATTAGATGAGCATATTTTACACGGGTACTCATGGGAAGATGTTGAGTGGCGATTTGGAAACGACTGTTTGTTCTCACTGAAAGGTTGATACAAACTATTTAAATTTGGCATTTTGTCAAATCAGTTCTTGAACCTTTTTGCACCATTGTTTTGAGTGCCTAATTCTATACACCTACATCTAAAAGAGCATATTATTTTTCACACTTTCTTCTGCTGATTGATTAATTAATTATTATTCTTTAACGCCGAGTCGGCAATTTTCTAGACATATTTCGGCGACATTTTGCTTCTGTAAAAAGTCGTTAAATTCTAAGGGTTCAAGCTTTCTTTGTGAATAGAGTCCAGCTTCGATAAAAGATTCCTCATACCTCACGTGCTTGACGTAAACATTGGATCAGATGGCCTGAAAGTTGACACTGTAGTAGGAAGCGTCAGTGCGGGAAAAGATGGTGTAGGAGTTGACACTGTGGTTGGTGGCGCAAAAGTAGGACCTGATGGTGTCTCTGTAGATACTGTTGCTGGTGCGGCTAGTATAGGAAAAGATGGGGTATCAGCCAATATTGACACGCCACTAGGTGGTGCTAGCGCATCAGTTGGAACTGACGGTCACGTCAGCGCTAGCGGCAATGTTGACGTTCCAATGGTTGCAAGTGTTAACGGTAATATTGATGTTGACCATGGAAAAGTCAGTGGAGGTGGAGGAGGCTCAGTGACGATCGATGGAGTTGAAGTTGGAGGTCATGTAAATGTTGATAAAGACGGAAAGGTCAGTGGTGGCGGAAGTGTTGGGCTGAATCTAGGTCCTCTTGCTCATGCGTCAGTTGGGGTTGATGTAGATTCAAGTGGTCATGTATCAACTGGAGTAGAGGGTCATGCCGGAATCGGTCCTCTCAGCGTAGGTGGACAAGTCTCCGTGGATCAGAATGGTAAAGTAACGGGGTCAGCAACAGGAGGTGCAAGCTTAGGTTCTCTAGGGAATATTGATGGCACTCTAAACGTTGACTCAAGTGGAGTTTCTGGTGGCGCCAGTGGGAATCTTAATGTTGGTGGAAGTAGCCTTTCAGGAAATATTAACGCTGGATCTAGTGGGATTACAGGAGGAGGAACTGCTACGCTCAACACTGGAATCGGATCACTAAGTGGACAAGTGAGCGGTGGCAATGGTGGCGTATCTGGAAGCATGAGCGGTTCCCCTAGTTCTGGAATTGCTTCCGGAACAAGTAGTGGTTCTAATCCAGGCTCCTCTTCAAGTGGATCTGGTTCTGGTAGCTCCAGTTCTTTTTCAAGTGGAAATCCTATGTCCTTCTCGTCGTCATTCAATCAAGCAATGTTAAGTGGACCTAATGGTTTCATGCAGATGATGCAGAACATGCAAAACGTACAAGGCAGTGAGTTTAAACATTTCTGTTAATAGCAACCATTGAAAATTGTTAAAAAATGAAAAAAAATATCTGATTGAAATTTTTTAACACTAACCAATTTGTAAAAATTTTAGGTCCCACAGGTTTTAATCCAATGACCTTTAATCAGCAAGGTATTCTGAACTCATACTTATTTTCATACGTTTTAATCTCAATACTTACTCCGTATTTTAGAACTTAACAAATGAAAAAGAGATATATTACATTTATCATCTACGTTTAATTGTTGTAGTTGGTACCGAAGCTTTCCTTCAAGAAATGGCAAAGCTAGGATAAATGTTTATGTTGTGGTAGGTCTTTTATCTAAACAGTATAATATCTATCAATGAATATATAAAGGAAATTTATACCAATTTCTTCAGATTGATTGAATAAATGCAAAAAAGTGTAATGTAATAGGAAATGAAATACATTTCCTCTGTTTATCAATGTTAGATTTTGATTAAATTTTTGGATGGCATCAATTTAATGCCTCGAATTACTACAGATCTAGAGTATGAATATGTTTTCTTTTTCAGATGATATCCTGTCAGTATTCAACAGTATTCATTATATGCACGTCTTTATTTTGGAGATTATTGATCAAAATACACTGAATGTTTCCTTTGTGAATACAAAGGTGTAATACAAATCGAACATTGATGATTTGAACCACAAGAAATTTTAAACACAATGATCAGTCTCATAAAATCTATAAACAATACAAATACATGTATGTGAAGAGGGCATAATACAAGGCCCCTGGAAATTTCAGAGATGGGATCAGGTGCCTAGAAGGGGTAAGCATCCTCTGGTGACCTGTCACACACACCGTGAACTCTATGTATTGATCAGGTAAAGCAAAGATTTTGTAGTCAATTCAGTATCAAAAATGGCTGAACAATTTTATGAAAGAAGTCAGCCAAAGTACAACTCAGTGATAGTTAATATTTTCTAACAAAGTCATTATAATGACCATAAAATGTACGAAATGCCAAGACGCCCTAGTGGCAAATGACAAAATCATTAAAATGACCATAAAATTTACGAAATGCCAAGACGCCCTAGTGGCGCAGTGGTTAGACTGCACATATCTGTTCTAGAGTCTTGGAGTAAGGAGCTGATCCCTGCGTTGCGAACTTGAATCCATTATGGAATGTAGTGACAGGTCCTTCGGATAGGGCCGTATAAACCGAGGTCTCGTGTTTCAGTAAATGTTGGTGCTTAAAGGATCCCTCACTGCTCAATGAATCTGAATCTCGAGTACAGCTCTCCACTGGCAAGTGATGGCGTGTTCATATGTCAGTGAAATATTCTCAAGAGGAACATTAAACAAATAAAAAAAAAACAACAAACGAAATGCCGATTCTAGAAGATGGTTGTTGAAATCCCTATAGCATATTATCTTATCAGTGAATAACATAAATCGCATTAAAAAAAAGCAAGCTCCTGAGTTGGGGATGATTTGTGAGACATAACCATTATAAGCAGGTGATAGTCAGGAAAAATAACTCTTTGAATTATAATTTTATTCAAAAAGTATCAAAATTAAGCTTAAAATTGACATCTTTTGATGCAACAATGTTCATTTTATGTGTCCCAATGTGATTTATTTTTTTTTAAGTTCGCAGAAACGATTTTATAAAATGTTGATACATGTATAAATTTTATCCCCAAAAGTAATTTTAAAAATACGTATTTAAAGAAAAATAAATCGAATTTCCTTAAATCCAACGATAGATACCAATGTTGATTAGCAAGGTATGAAATTAGAGTTATTTATGGTATTTTGCACTGATAGAAAACACTGAATGCATTAAAATTGATTGAGTAAATAGAAGAAGCAAAAGAACCATTTAAGTATAAAATCATGAAATTTTCTTCAAAGGCCTGAATACATGTACGTATAATTTTTCGTCCTAAAATTACTTTGTTAGTCAATTTTTAATTTAAGGATAAATAACACAAACTTTTTTCCAATATAAGCAAAACGTCTCATAGATTTGCTTTTAAATTGGTAACCTGAATAATTTTTACGAAGTATAGTGGGAGAATTTTATAAGATTTTGTCAAAAGGTTAAAAATTGGTGCAAAATTTTGTTTTGAATTATATGGAAAGCAAAACAAAGTCTCATATCTAAGCACCAAGGAAAACCTACGATTTTTTTATATTTCTGGGAATTTTTTTACATGCAATTTCAAATCAAAATCAGGCCAAAAATATATATCAATCCAAGCATCAAGTTTTTGTTTGTGTTAAGTACCCTTAGTGCATATGCTAGTACGTGTATTTTTAAGCATTTCCTGAAAACGTATCGGAGATTTTCTAATTTCCCATATATAATTTGAATAACTTCAAAAATAAAATTTTAAGAATTACTGTGGTTAAATACACATACTTTGATGATTCAGAAAAATTTTTATGAGCATTTTCAATTATTAAATGCCTGTTTTCAGAGCTTGAGGATTGTTTTATATATAACCTGCAAATGTAACATTATCTGAACTTTTTCTTATATTTCCAAAATAAATTGCACAAAATTAAGCCAGGTTTTATTTTATAGATGTGTTTTCAATTGTCACAGATGACCAATTATATTATTAACGAGTTGATTTCAAATCACATATACCTGGTATAAGCATCATCCATTTCTAAACTTTACATGACCTTGTCTGTCCCTGATGGTTATATAATGATAATAATGATAAGAACAGTTCCTCACTCATCTTATCTCTCTCCCAATACCGACCTTATGACCAACAATATAAGAGGAAAAAATATGAAAGTATCACTTTTCCTCTTAATTTCTGTGGTTGTAGTGGGAATCGAGTCAGAGCACAGTGCTAGCAGTGTTCAGTACTGTAAGTCAACTATTTTTAATTTGAAAAAAAAAATAGAATTTATATAATTTTCAATAAGCACATACATATATAAATAATGTGCATCCATATATGGTATTGAAAATTAATCTTAATAACTTATATTGATGCTTTTTTTTAATCGGTTTCAGTATTATTAATGTACAAGAGAAATAGATATAAGAAAAATTAAGGCTTATTATAACAAGTACGAATAACACATGAATGTACTTATGAATTTGAACATACTCTAGATCTCTATATTTTCGCTAAATCTTATTTTCGAAAAGTAGTCATCTACACTTTATAAGCGAGAACCTACAATCAAATATTACAAAAATACTTTGTTTTCCAATTCATTCTTATTTAGTTTGAAATGTAATTAAAGTTGCTTTCATTACTAAATATCTCTTAACTCTCAAAAAAATTCTTAGCGGAATAAAAAAAAATGCTAATAAATGCAAGTCAAAACTTTACCTTAACACATGACTAGAATACATATATAGTAAAACGGACAATATGCAAAAAACAAAAACAAAACAAAACCAAACAACCAAACAAACAACAAACAAAAAGAAAACGTAAATACAGGAAAACGGCTTGCAGCAAAGTGTCAAAGACGGAGTATTTTTTTCGTTACAAACTTTATTCGTAATATCCGTGAAGTTTGATTGTCAGAAACAAAGCATTTTATTTTACATTTATCCGTTCAATTTTTAATAAATTTTATAGCCAAGGGGCATGAAAATTACCTTGCTGAAAGCGCCACATACAATATGAATGCATATGCTTTAAGCGTGCTTTACTTTACAGCTTCCTTTCTTTCTTAAAATTGAAATCAAGGCATAGTGTCATTTTGTTACTTCTTAAAAATATTTTCTTATAGTGAAGAAAAGACTCTTGTTGGATGGGGTTTCTATTGACACACCAGTTGGAAGTTTAAGTGTTGATCAAAGTGGAGTGTCTGGGAATGCAAACGTAGATTTAGGAAAAGGGTCTGTTGGTGGTAATTTCAACGCTGGTTCAAATGGCGTAAGTGGAAGCGTCAATGGAAATGTAAATACAGGATCTGGTTCCCTTAGTGGAAACCTTAACGTTGGAACAGATGGTGTGAGTGGCTCCTCCAGTGGCACCCTTAATTTAGGATCAGCTGGTACATTGAATGGAAACATAAATGCAGGACCTAGTGGCGTCAGTGGAGGAGTAGGTGGCTCTTTGAACACTGGCTCCGGTAGCTTAAGTGGTGGGGTAACGATTGGGCCTGACGGGGTGAGTGGTAGCGCCAGTGGATCTCTTAATACAGGATCGGGCTCGCTGAATGGCAACATCAATGCAGGTCCCAGCGGAGTTAGTGGTGGCGCAAGTGGAACCTTGAATACAGGATCGGGTTCACTGAATGGGAATATCAATGCTGGTCCCGGGGGCGTAAGTGGTGGTGTGGGCGGATCTGTCAGTGGTGGTTTGGGTAGTTTAAGTGGACGTGTTACTATCGGTCCGAATGGTGTAAGTGGTGGAGCTAGTGGGACCCTTATTTAACACTGGATCAGGTTCTCTCAGTGGCAATATCAATGCAGGTCCTAGTGGTGTTAGCGGCAGTGCTAGTGGAACCGTGAACACTGGATCTGGTTCTCTCAGTGGCAATATCAATGCAGGTCCAAATGGTGTTAGTGGTGGAGCCAGCGGTACTCTAAATACTGGATCAGGTTCTCTCAGTGGCAATATCAATGCAGGTCCTAGTGGTGTTAGCGGCAGTGCTAGTGGAACCGTGAACACTGGATCTGGTTCTCTCAGTGGCAATATCAATGCAGGTCCTAATGGTGTTAGTGGTGGAGCCAGCGGTACTCTAAATACTGGATCTGGTTCCCTCAGTGGCAACATAAATGCCGGTAATGGGGGTGTCAGCGGCACTGCTAGTGGAACCTTGAACACTGGATCAGGATCACTCAGTGGTAATATTAACGCTGGTTCTGGTTCAGTAAGTGGAAGCCTCAGTGGGTCGACCAATATTGGAGGCATAGGAATAAGCGGGAATTTGAATGGTGGGTCTGGATCTGGATTATCAGGTGGACTTAATATCAATTTGGGTGGGTCTGGAGGATCATCTTCCGGTGGATCATCTTCCACTTCCGGTGGAACCTCAGGGGGATCCTCATCTTCAAGTGGATCAAACTTTTATCAGTTAATGTTACAAGGTCCTCAAGCTCTGATGCAGGCTATGCAGAACATGATGAGTGGCGCATCATCCACGGGTACATGCTTTATTTATTATTATGAAACCCAATCAACTTAAATGTTATAGTATTTTGTTTTATTTTAAAAATAAATTGATTTTACTTTTTTAGGAGGTGCTGGGTTCAATGCTATGACGTTTAACCAACAAGGTATATAGTTATAATGCTTTTTCAGAAGTCTTAAAAAGATCTTAATTTCGGAATTTTTATGAATATTTAAATGCCACAGTAAACGAAGGTTTGAGGGTTATAATTTTGTTTTTCTGTCTGCTTACCTACTTACCTTAACCATAAAGTTTGATAAACTTTTGCAAAAAAATTACCAAACTGTAACCCTTGGTCATAACTTTTGAACAGTTGATGCTAGGGCTTCCATGCATCACTTGTGTATTTATTATGACAAAGGCATTCCATGAGTAAAATATTTTTGACATTGACTTTAACATTCTTTTTAAAAACATTAACTTTGGTCTTAACTTTTAAACAGTTTGTACAAGGGCTTTCAAGTGCATTTCTTGTGACAGGACCTTCCTTTGAATAGTACAAATTTTACCAATTGAATTTGATGTTGAAGCTTGACCTACGGTATTTTAGAAAAACTAACTTTCGCCATATGACTTGGGAAGAGTTGATGCTAGGGCTTTAATATTTCACCCGTGTACATGTTTTTCATAAGATAGGACATACGTATATTCTAGATAACAAGTCCTTCTTTTGGGTAACGATTTTTTTTTCAATTTTAGGCCTTGCAATGTCACTTACATTTCAGAAATTTTAACCTTTTGCCATAAGCTTCCATACCAAGGCATCAGTGTTTCACAAACATTTTTTTATGTTTCAGTTGGAGTCGACGCATTTATGCAACAAATGCAACAACAACAACAACAAGGTTAAGCTCCAAAGCCGTGAATCAAAGATTTATTCGAGGTGTACATCAAATTCAGAAATACATCAATATTTATCAAAGAAATTTCAAAAAATGAATCAAAATGTGACGGAAATTGACTGTTCTCTCTCCTGGGAGAATTTTTATAGCTAGACAATCTTTCACTTCAGTTTCACATCAATGCCATTTGGACCCATTTACATATTGTTTTTTGTATATACATACGCGTTAGAATAAATATCCAATTTAACAAAACGCGATGTTTTAATTTTCCCCCAGAGAAAGGAGGCATTCAAGTTTTGTTTGTCGAGGATTTGAACACTAGATACGAACCATGTTTCTTTCTGAAATTGGAATAAATTTTATTCAAAGGTTGATGTTTGATATTTTTGTTTCTTTTTAATACAGATTTATAGGATCAAAAGAACCATTTCAAAATATTTTTTTAAATGTTGAAGCTTTAACTTAAATGCAGTTCTGTGACGCACTGGTCTGAAAATATAGGTTATATACGATCAGAAACTAAGTATTAGCAAGCATCCCTTTTAAAAATCAACTTGTTTAAACCTATGTCATTTTCTATTGTAAAAAAAATTAATAAAATATGGTGTGCTTTGAAATGGAGTTGCACTTCATTTTTTTATTCAGAAAGTTGAAAATAAGGAAATAATGATGGGATTTTCAAAATCCATGCACAGGCAAAACTGTATTCAGTGACGTCAAAGTAAAAAAAAAAAAAGTCGCATTCGATCGGCATTTTTTCATGTGTCGCGTTCCAGTGAAAATATGAAGTATGGCTAACTGAGACATATCGTACAAAGATTTTCAATTTTGATAAGTTTTTGTAAAACAAATTCTATCTCCGGGTTATATCTTCACGATTTTAAAACGTTATTTTGTACAATTCAAGGAAGCGAGCAAACGCAGCAGCAGCAGCGCAGCAGCGGCCCTTCACTTCATAGGAAGAAGAAGAAACACTTGAAGAAAACTGAATGATTGATTGATTGTATGTTATTACATACCGTTTGAGAATTTTTTCACTTATATAGTCCCAATATACCGATGCAGGGATTCAAAATTAGAAATTAACTGTCACTTAGAGCAATTGAGCAGAACGAGTTTGTTTTCATGCCAACACATATCGTGATATAGGGCCTCGGTTTTTGATGTCTTATTTGAAAGATCCGCAACTTTCACTCCAAATTGCCGAGCTGTTATGAAAGGAACAATTGCGTCCTTTTTTCTCGACTTGGGTCAGTCCCGACCGCGTTTGAATCTCACGAATGCTGATCACGGAGCGAGTGCTCTACCGACTGAGCAAACGTGTCTGTAGAAAATTGAGAACACACCAGGATCCCTAAAATAATTTTGTTTTCAAAAATGTTTGAAATTTGCGAAGGAACAGAGTTCAAGCTCAAAAAGCCATTAAAACAATATATATTCTAAGCAGAACCAACAAAGACCTTTAAAAAAATCAAAGTTATGGTTCAGATTCCATGGAAAAGTAACCGGTTGGTTATCCCGTTGATTACATTCATTTTTATCTTTGTTTGTTTAACGTCCCTTTCAAGACTTTTTTCACTCATATTGAGACGCCACTACTTGGCGGTTCGCTACAAAATTTTGAATTAAACTTGGCACCCCAGGCAATTGAGCAGTGAAGGATTTTTTCGTGCAGACCACCTTCTTTGGCACGTGATCTCATTTTATACGTTTTCTTCCCAAGACCCGGTCTTCACGCCCCTTAGTGGGGTTTTGAATCCGCGACGTAAGGATCAACTCGTTAATCCGCTACTCTGGAGCAAACATTCTAACCACTGCGCCATCCGGTCGACCAAACCCACCGCATGCTTTGTGTCATCTTTGGCTAGTTTGCTATGGAAATAATGGCTTAATAACAATATGTATATTAAATAGGGATGGCAATTTGTAACCGATTAACCGATTACTCTGTCGGAACAATGGCAATCGTAGATATGTAAAGTTAGCTACCAGTAACTGGCTACTAGTAGCTGGCTACGACAAGTGGGTAAAGTTGGCTACTAGTAGCTGGCTACGAGAAGTAAGTAAAGTTGGCTACTAGTAACTGGCTACTAGTAAATGACTTGAACCTTCTAGTACCTTTTGTGTAAAAATATGCAACCTTGGGATACAAATGTTGATATTCTTGAAGTAGCTGGATTTTTACACCGCTGATATCCACTGATATTGTTGATAAAAACAATCTCTTAGCTTTTCCACATGATCTGGCACTAAAGTTACCAAGATATCGTTAGTAATAAACTCAACTACTAGTACCTTTTGTTTAAAATTGTGCAATTTTGGGATACAAATGTTGATATTCTTGATGTAGCTGGATTTTTACACCGCTGATATCCACTGATATTGTTGATAAAAACAATCTCTGAGCTTTTCCACATGATCTGTCACTAAAGTTACCAAGATATCGTTAGTAATAAACTCAACTACTAGTACCTTTTGTTTAAAAATGTGCAATTTGGGATACAAATGTTGATTTTCTTGAAGTAGCTGGACTTTTACACCGCTGATATCCACTGATATTGTTGATAAAAACAATCTCTTACCTTTTCCACATGATCTGGCACTAAAGTTACCAAGATATCGTCAGTAATAAACTCATCTACTAGTACCTTTTGTGTAAAATTATACATACTTAGGATACAAATCTTGATATTCTTGAAGTAGCTGGATTTTTACATCATTGATATCAACTGATTTTGCTAATAAAAACAATCTCTTAGCTTTTCCACATAGATTTGTTTGGTTCTGAATTTGAAATGACGGTAAAACACCTTGTTAAATCTCAAAGTTACATAACTCTAACGGAATGCACTCAGTGTTTGAAGAAGAAGTCTTATCGAAAGGAACTCATCGAATTAGGGCTAGGAAGTCACAATCAAAACACTATTCATGACCTTCTATTTGACTGGGATCATGGAACTTCATCTCGTTGCCCTTTAAGATGTGGTGGCAAAACAACAACAACTAACAACAACACGCCGCTTTGAATCCACTTCTGTTTTACTATTTGTTATAGTTGACCTGGCATCTGCTGAAGGCAGACTAGTAACTGATTCTTTAATAGATCCCATCATCATTGTTAGCCAGCAGTACGAGTTGTATGGAGCAACTTTGAATCGGCATGGTCATTTCCGTTTGTTGGTGAGGTCTAAATTCGATGGCCCATGGCATAGTTATGATGGTCTTCGGAATAAAAATAGATTTGAAAAACTTGAACGTTTCAGATGTAGGTCAAATGAAACAGTTACCAATCTTATATATGTAAAAAGTCGGAGCAACTGAGCATGTAAACGATCAGATGAATAGTACATGTACATGGTATTGGTTGAGGTGTTCTTGACATTGACTATTAAATGACGTTTTGATATAACAATGAGATACATATATATATATGACGGTAGGTTAAATGGTATGCGTAAGATATATTGAGATAACGAACAGTCTTCAAGCTAAATAATCCATTTAAATACAAAATAGGAGCAGAGCAAAAACGGACCTACTAAACATCAGAGGTGGGATCAGGTGTCATGGAGGAGTGGTCATCCCCTACTGACCGGTCACTCCCACCGTGTGCCTATAATCTTGATTGGGAAATAACGGGAAAAAAACCAGTCGTTAATTCATTATGAAAATAATGGTCTAACAATAAGTACGAAAAAACGTCAATTAGCATTTGACTTAGTGACTAATTGTATTTGCTGACAAGGTCATTGTATTGACCATAGAACTTAGAAATAGTTTATAAGAAGAGCATGCGTATCGAATCAACTGAGAGATATAAACCTCGTATGCAGATGATGAAGGTATGTTGCAGCATACGGGAAGTTGACAATTGAAAAGTTTAAGTTAACACGTTTATCATAGAGCTTGATTGTTAGATTACCATTAGCGTCTTTTTATCATATAGAGAAGCTAATGGGATATTAACTTCAGAAATATTAGTAGATATCAAATATGTAAGAAACTAAATACTTCAAAGAAATCGACATTTATATCGCAAACTTAATTATACATGTATTACAAAAAGTACTAATAGATGAGTATATCACTGTACAGATATCTTGAAATTTCAGTGCCAGGTCATGTGGAGAAGCTAACAGAATGACTTCATCAGCTATACAAGTGAATATCAGCTTAGTAAGAATCCCGTTACTTCAATGCCTCAAAAAATATATTAGGATCTGTAAAGATAAACGTAAGTCGTCAACTTAAATCGTCTGTAATGTGTTATGCGAAGAGAAATTTCTGATTAGCCGTGTCAGAAAATACCTGCTCTCTAAATACCCAGCTATTTGAAAGATGTCAACAAAAATATATATTTCACAAAATGCACTAGTAGCAAAAGATATAACTGCAGATATCGAGGTGACTTCGGTGCAAAATTAAGTGGAGAAGCTATGAGAAAGTTCAGATCAGCAATATAAAAAAATATCTGCTTGCAAGAATCAAGTTTGTTAAATGTTGTCGATATTTATATCCAAAGGTTGCTTTTTATTACACACAAAAAACAACTAACAGCTGATTATATAACTTCAAATATCTAGGTCTTTCAAGTGTAAGATCCTTGGAGAAGCTAGGAAAAAATTTACATCAGCAATATTAGTAGATATCAGCTAAATTAATATCCCAATTGCATTACAAGTACAAGTGGCTGAGTTAAATAATTAGTACAGATATCTTGGTAACTTCAGATTCCGATCATGTGGAGAACCTGAGATGTTCTTTTTATCACTAATATTGGAAGATAAAAATGTATCAGCTATATAAAAATTCTTTAACTTCAATGGTGCTAACATTTGTTTCCCAAAAGTGCATTATATCACACAAAAAGTGCTAGTAGCTGAGTCTATTAACTAGTACAGATATCTTGGTAACTTCAGTGCCTGATTATTTGGAAAACCTCAGAGATTGTTTTTATCAACAATATCAGTGGATGTCCGCGGTGTAAAAATTCAGCTACCTCAAGAATATCAACATTTGTATCCCAAAATTGCACAATTTTAAACAAGGTACTAGAAGGTGAGTTTATTACTAACGATATCTTGGTAACTTTAGTGCCAGATCATGTAGAAAAACTTACGAGATTGTTTTATCAGCAATATCAGTTGATATCAGCGATGTAAAAATCCAGCTACTTCAAGAATATCAAGATTTGTCTCCCAAAATAGTATAATTTTACACAAAAGGTACTAGTAGCTGAGTTTATTAGTAACAATATCTTGGTAACTTTATTGACAGATCATGTGGAAAAGCTCAAAGATTGTTTTATCAACTAATTCAGTGGATATCAGCGGTGTAAAAATCCAGCTACTTCAAGAATATCAAGATTTGTCTTCAAAATAGCATAATTTTACACAAAAGGTACTAGTAGCTGAGTTTATTACTAACGATATCTTGGTAACTTTAATGCCAGATCATGTGGAAAAACTCAGAGTTTGTTTTTATCAACAACAATATCAGCTGATATCAGTGATGTAAAAATCCAGCTAGTTCAAGAAGATCAAGATTTGTCTCGCAAAATAGCATTTTACACAAAAGGAACCAGTAGCTGAGTTTATTACTAGAGATATCTTGGTAACTGCAGTGCCATATCATGTGGAAAAGCTCAGAGATTGTTTTTATCAACAATATCAGTGGATATCAGCGGTGTAAAAATCCAGCTACTTCAAGAAAATCAACATTTGTATCCCGTTTGCATAATTTTACACAAAAGGTACTAGAAGGTTCAGGTCATTTACTAGTAGCCAGTTACTAGTAGCCAACTTTACTTACTTGTCGTAGCCAGCTACTAGTAGCCAGTTACTAGTAGCCAACTTTACTTACTTCTCGTAGCCAGCTACTAGTAGCCAACTTTCCCCACTTGTCGTAGCCAGCTACTAGTAGCCAGTTACTGGTAGCTAACTTAATTTAAATATCTGGCAATCGTTAGCAAATCTGTAATAGGTTAGTCGGTAAAAATAAAATATATTTAAATTTGTACCTAATTTTTCTAAAATTCATTTTTGAAAAAAAGAAATATTTTGGATGTAATTATGGTTCTCTTGGTTGAGATCTCTGGGTAATTTGTCATTTTGTGTTTGAAGTGTTAATACTTAATTATTGTATAAACACCATTTCGTTACCCTGATTGTCCTGTATTTCTTTAATGATATTTAAATCACTATTGAGAACTGCGAATTAGTATGTTTGTTTAATTTTTTTTTGCAGTTATCTAATCGAATAAATTACTAAACAAACTTTGTAAATAAAGTATTTAAGAATGTGGGTTTTTAACGCAAGAATCAAGAAAAATAAAAATTTCAAACATCTAGACTTTACCAGTCTTCTTGTATATATGAATGGAGCTACTAAAAGCTGTTTCTATACATCAAGAAAATGCGTATTTGATACGGTTAACCGGTTAATCGGTCGGAACGTCTTGCGGTTAACCGATTAGCAATTCTGTATTCTATTGCCATCCCTAATATTAAAGATTACGTCATCATGCAGTCGACCGACAGATTGTATTAATTAATTTTGCAAACCGTATCGTAGTATTGAACGTAAAATTATGACTCCGAACAAATTTTCTGCCACCAATCATCAATTTGCATTGTTTGCCGGAAGCCTGTCTCATTTTGGAAATTGTTCACACGAAAAACATGCTCTTGGGTATTGAATCATCCTAGATGTGTAATGGTATATTGTTACATAAATAGGGGAAGTCGACAAGAGAAAAGTTGTTCAAGGTCATCACGTTATCATGAAGTAAGTTAGTGGTTGACATTTTACCACGTTTAAAACCAGTTATGGCATTAATTAAAATCTTTGGAACAAAAGACTTTTCAAGATCTATATAGTTTAGTCGTACATTATTGTTTTTAAGAATAAAGTTGCATATATTGGCGATTGCTGATTCCTATAATATTTTTTTTTTGTTCTTTCATAGCAGTTTTATTGTGCAAATGCTTGACACACCTTAAATGCCATGCAATGACTTTCTTTACATTTGATCACGGTAGCCTAGTGGTATGGGTTCGTATTTTGATCGGGAGACCCTGGTTCAATTCCCGCTTACTGCATCAAACCTACTGTCACTACTTAATGGCTCAGAGTTCCGAGTATAGGTCTGAATTTGAAGGCCTTCATCGGTATACAGTGACGTTTTTATGAGTGAAAATTCTCGAATAGGACGTTAAACAACAAGCAATCGAATAATCTTATTATTACATACAATTGTGACTTCATCTCACTAATATTCTATTTTTACCTTCTAACTCTAAGTAGAATGTATAAAGGCATGGGCTTATTTGATTTATTCATAATTAACAATCAAACTCCTAGGTAATTACGCAGGCAGCTCCGACTGTCGCAACAGTATATCTCTCCATTTGATTTAACTAGTGTCTTCATTATAACACAGTCATCTCTCTGATAAAAACAAATAAAAAATAATGATATAAACTATACGCATAATTTATTTCATTTATTTTATTTATTTATTCCTTCATTTCCCCAACAGGAACCAAATCAACGATTAAAATATTAAAAGAAAATCAAAAGCATTTTCCCCCCAAATTCCTGGTCAGAGGTTTTGGAAAACGAAAATTTCTTTTCAAATTTATATTCCATCCATTATTTATTTATGTCGGTATTTTTTGAAAATTAGAAATAGTATGTTCTCTCAAAGAAAGACCCCAGTGGCAATGCACTATTAAGTTTTCAATCTGTGTGTACATGTTGAAATTAGAATGTTACTTTATTACCCATAACGCACTTATATCAACTTATCACGATTATTTCCCCTTACCAGAAGACAATGTGTAGAAAATCGGAATCCAGTTAAGGAGCGGATCATACAGCTCTCAGAACTGTCACACACAGTATTCCAGGTACATCGCATCTGATCATCACACGTCGGACAAGGTAACCCTGGTGTGGAGTAAAAATTGCTTTTTTTTTCTTGTTGCTTATCTGAGAAAATTGCTGCTCTTGAAAGTGAGCTTCTTTGATTGAAGTTTGCGAGTCATACATGTACCTCTGGTTTATTTAATATGCCTCATAACATTCGCACTTGACATGATTCAGTTCCCGTTATATTTTAAGCATCCTTTTATGTCTTACACCAAAATTAACTTCTTTTTTTTAAAGCCTGTAATGTTATTCCAGCATTGGAGCTGCCGAAAGATGGAATATGTCTAATTGAATTCAGTTTTATTTGAATACTATTGAATACCTTACCCGCGGGTGATGTATTTTGATGAGCTGTTGTGGAAGTTGTTGTTTGCTTTGTGGTTGGAGGGGCTGTATTCGAAGCTTAAGACAATAAAATGATTTGTAGCCAAGAAAATATAACTATCAATAAAACCAAAAGGGAAAAAATGGAGGAAAATTGATATCAACATGATATACTTTGTCCCCTTAAGTATCACAACTGTAGGATATGTATCAACGCTTACCTGGACATGTAGCCATTTTGCAGTTGTTCATTTCATATAATGGTCCGATGCATTTCCTGCCACCATGGTGAGGATTGATACACGCCCGCGACCTTACTCGCGATCCACCCCCACACGTGGCACTACATGGTGTCCAACTCCCCCAGGTGGTTAAAATACCGTCCACTGTAATTCAGAGCAAATGAACTCTTAATTCAAGAGTCTTTATGCTCTTATATAATTAAATGTTATTCAGAGTCAGACTATATCCATCATTATGCTGTTTATTGTGTCGAATATTTACAGAAAATCATACTGTTATAATTTATACCTGTGACTCAAAGTTTCCCTGTCACTTGTTGCCAGCTAAATTTGCGGAAAGTTTTTCTTTATAAATATGATTAAACCAAGAAAAAAAGCATGATAATTGATAAATATGATTCATATTTCTATATACATACCGAATTCAGATTAAAGATAAAATTGCTAATTATTCACCACACCAGAATATTTGAATCAGAGGAAATGTATTGTGCACTTCAAATGAACTAATGAATCAATGACTTATCGGGTGCAGTGGTTAGAACCTTTGCTTGAGAGCTGTGGAGTAAGGATTTGATCCTTTCGTGACCGGAAAGATACATAATATAGGAAAGATAGCTCGAGATAAATATTAATATATAAGATATATTGTTTATGTGATAAAACGTTACAATTAAGCAAATATGCAGGAGATCGAATATATTTTGAAGGATCTTTAGAGAGAAACACGATAAAGTTTTAACTGGTACCTGGACAATACCTTGCTCCACAGCGTTTCGTTGATAAAGTACTTCCATGACAAGGTGCGCCGCCATGTTGAGGAGGAATACAGGTCCGAGTACGCCTTCTTATTCCTTCACATGTCGCAGTGCAGTGACTCCAAGTTCCCCAGTTACCCAAAAGGCCATCAACTTAAAAATACATGTATTTTTGATTGCTTAGGTTTAATTAGTTTAGGCGATGGGCCAGATATGAAAAAGAAGACGTGAAGACTTTGTCAGAATGGATTAAATGTGTCAGATCTATGTTACGATCGCGTATTAATTAAAAGATGGAGGGGCAAAATGAAAACCATCTATCCTTATGTATTCAACAATCCAGAGGTGAAAAAAGAATTAGATAGATTACATGATCAGTATGTCTGGTCCCTGCTGACAAAGCAGGTAACAACATTGTCTTCATTTGTAAGGCTCATTATATAAATTGTATTTTAGAAGAACTTGGATTTAATTCTGCAAGTGGTAATCCAACTTATACTCATAGTTCCCTTTCAAAAGAAGAAATTCTTCAAAATCATACGTCAGTTCCGAATATTTTGAAGATCCAAAGGAACCAAAATGAATTTGAACCACCATATCAATATTGCATTCCAAAACTTTACAAAAATCCTTACAGAGATACATAGCGGGTTGCAGTAAATGCTCAACCAAGCCTCTTTTTTTACTCATCACTAAGATATTAACCGTAGTGAAGGAGAAACTTCAAGAGAACTGTGCAACAATATATTCAAGAGGTGGTGTAAATCAGATGTGGATACTTAAACATTCATAGGAACTTTTGGACAATTTGAAATCACAAGATTTTACCAAATCAATAGCTTAAAAGCCTACGATTTTTCAACGTTATACAAAACCATTCCAAATTAAAGTCCAGGCTATTTGATACAAAAGTATTTTCTTAAAAACATTCTGATTACACACAAGTACTCTGAAGTTGACATCAAAAAGATGCTAGGAGTTTCTGATTGACAATATCTATGTGGATTTGGAGACCAGGTCTTCCAACGATCTTTTGGAATTTCCATGAGTACCAATTGCGCCCTGTTATCAGCAGACCTATTATTGTATTCATATGAAGAGAATTTGTGCAAAATCTTAAACGTGAAAAGAAGAAAACACTTGCTGTGGCCTTCAAATCGACATTTAGATATATCGACGACGTATTGTCAATTAACAGTTTTCATTTTAAGTCGATACGATATATCCTGGTGAGCTCGAGATAAAACATACCACAGAGTCTGAAACAACTGTTTCATATTAGTATTTGGATATTTTACAATAAAGACGTTAATAGTAATCTAACAACCACGCTCTATAATAAAAGTGATGAATTTAACTTTTCAATTGTCAACTTCCCTTACTTAGCAGCAATATACCTTCAACACCTGCACACGGAGGTTATATAATATATATGCTCATTCCTCCATGGCACCTGATTCCACCTCTGATGTTTTGGAGCTCCGTGTTTGCTCTGCTCCTATTTTGTACTGTTTTATGGACTTCTGATCTTGAATACTGTTCGTTATCTCCATATGTTTCATTTATTGAACAATTCAATAAAATATCTGGGATGAAATTGTTATTGTTCTAGATACAGAATCCCTAGGGATCAGGTTTGATTAACACTTTTCCCCAATAGAAAGGGTACTACAATTACTAAGAATATTTGAGATAATTGTTTTTAAAAAGTTTTTGTAACATTTTCTCTCTTTTTTTTCAGTTCACCTGGACTGAAAGCTCTAGCAAGCGTTTAGAACTGATCATATTTTGACTGTCCTCCGTCTGTCTGTCTTAAAGTATTTTCCAATTTTCGACTTCTCAAGAACTGCTTCAACAAAATGGACAACTTTCTACAAGCATCATTGAATGAAGAAAATTACCTTTGTTCGAGTGGAGAGCTATGTCATTATCAATTGGAGATAACTTATAATAAGTTTTTCCCTTAAATGAAGGATATAGCGAGAACAAACATTATTCAATATCAAATTCAAGTCCATAAAACAATACAAAGTAGGAGCAGAGCAAACACGGACCTCTAAAACATCAGAGGTGGGATCAGGTACCATGGAGGAGTGAGCATCCCCTGCTGACCGGTCATACCCGCCGTGTGCTCCTTGTCATGATCGGGAAATAACGGGAAAATCCGTCGTCAATTCAGTGTATAAATAATGGACTAACAATAAGTATGAAAAACGTCAGTCAGTATTTAACTCAATGATAAATTGTATTTGCTGACAAGGTCATTGTATCGACCAGAGAACTTACGAAATGATTACTTTAAACGAGACTGCTGATATTCTTGTTTCATCAACTTGTTTGTCAATAATTTACCTCGTTTTAGATATTGTTCATACGTAGAGCATGCTCTTGCGTATTGAATAAACTGAGATATATAAACGCCGTATGCAGGTGATGAAGGTATATTGCTGCATAAGTAAGGGAAGTTGACGATAGAAAAGTTAAAGTCATCACGTTTTAAAAAAAAAAAAATTACCTGCGCAGGGCGTTTGACTACAATTCCTTGTTTCTGATAAATTGCTCGAACAAGGATAACCACCAAACAGAGGAGGATGACAAACACGTGATCTAGTCATGTGACCGTCACCACAAGACACGCTACAGGAACTCCAGCTACTCCAATCACCAGTCCATCCATTAACTAAAAATAAATCGAATACAGCATTCATGAATATTTAGGTTACATGTGCCTTTTTTTTTTCTTTTACTTAATTTTACAACTTGGAGAATACTGACTGAACTTCAATCAGTGCCACAAAAATACAGAATCTTTTTCAGAGTAAGTTGTTAAAATAAGGTTGTAGTGTTTTGTGAATCCAACTCGATTAGGCAAGATGATTTCATAATTATGTAATAAATAACACATTCGATAATATAAAATATTTAATTTTAATGGAACATTCCAGGAGTACACGCTAGACAAAAATGCTAACGCTCCTCCTACGTTCTCATAGTTGTCTAATCGACATGTGATGATCTTAAAATTACGCCATATTGCTAAATCGAGTAAGATGAGAAATATATATTTATCAGGCAAAGTGCTGGAGTAAAATTGACGTCAAACATTACTTGCATATTTTTCTTGATATGTTCGTGTTCTACATGTGACAATATTTGAAGACTCAAGTTCTTTGATGCATTTCAAAAATTAAAATAATCTTGTATTTTCTCTGTTTTAGAATTATGAATAAAACGTCAAATTATTTTCATGACCTTTAAAAATATTTTTAAAATAATTTTATAAATGTTTACCTGGGCAGTGTTTAACAAGACATGCTTTGCTCTCCATTAAATCTCCTTTGCACTGTGCACCTCCATGTTTTGGTTGATGGCAGACACGTGACCTCGTCTGTTGGCCTCGTCCACATGTTTGACTGCAGGTAGTCCAGCTACTCCAGTCGCTGAGAAAACCATCAACTTGAAAATAAAAAAATGATTACAAATACTGACTTCGCTATTTTTATTTTATAAATGTGACGATCAAACTTTGACAATAAAAATAAAATTAACACATTTATAGAATTATATCCCCAATTCCCCATCGCATACTTGGGCATTGTTGCTTTGGGCTGCATGTCTCTGTCCTTGAAGAAGAGCCCTGACATGACCCTGTCCCTTTACATCTTCTGGTAGAGGTCCTGGAGCCCCCTGCTCCACAATTCACACTACAAGGACCCCAAGTACTCCACTGTGTCCAGTGAGCAGTCTCTAATGAGAGGGAGCAATAAATTACTTTTCATCGCCTCTTGACACTGGTTTTTATTTCAGAATATGGGGAATATTAAGTCAGTAAAAATCACAATTAGTTAATTCATACTTCTTCTGATTTGGCAGCAGCCGATTTGAAGAACAGTGAAATGACAATAAGCCTCCTGGTTGCTTCCCACGTGATATGAATGTTTGCATTGTTCGTCAGACGTACATATCGTACCAGCAACTGCTGTAAAAGTATAAAAAAAAAACATGCTTCAGTTTATCCTTGATTACCATCTTCTTTCTACATCTAACATTTATATACCAAATATCTAACGTTACTTAGGCATTTCAGAATGATTTTTTTGTTTTTATATAACATGATCTAGGTTTTGTTACCTGTGAAAGTCTCCAAAATGCCTATTACGGCCAGGAGTACACAATATTTGTACATGCTTGCACGCACGTGTATTCCTCGGTGGTCCTCTTCTTATCAGTTTTACCTTGGTGAGAAGTCCTTTACATGTGCTATTATTACATATTCTCTAGCAATGAGTAATAACATTGATAGTAATATTCATTGATTCATATTTTTTCTGTCATATTTTTGAGTGATACATATTTCAAACCAATTGATAGGTTTTAAGCTTTCTAATTTTCTGCGTACCTGATTAACACTGGTCAACAGGGAATGTTTTTTTTTCTAATATACCCGATTCAACATCTCGTCTGGAATTCCAAGGATCCGTGTAATAAATTCTTATCACATTTTTTATATTGTTCGTAGTTTTTAATATACAGTTGTAAATGTTTTCACTTGTTTCTTTATTTCAATTGATCAGAAACAAGAGGAGTTTCTATGTCAATAATATAAAGCGCCTATTGCCCGTCCGTGAACAATTAAGCTTTGGGGTGTCCATCTCTCATCCGCAACTCTTTTTATATCACTGAATGAAATCAACTGAGTCTTTGTTACATGATCCGACACATATTTTGGGTTACAAACAGCAAAACATGGACGCTGCCATTCTTTTTCTAATATTGAAGGGTACCCATCTCTTATCCGCAACTTCTCCTATACCTCTGAATAAAATGTAATGCTACATTGTTGCAAATTCTTCATATTACAAACAATTATGCAAATCCAAATTTACTTTTTGATCTGACACTTATCTCGGGTCTCTCAGAACAGAACATGAACTTTATATGCCATAATAATCATATGGGAGGCGAAGGTATCATTTCGTGAGCTCAGTGCTCATAGTACCTGTAGTTTCATTGTTATACCCCACTCTTGAAAAGTGTGTGTATGTGGGGGTGGGGGGGAGGGGGGGTATATAATGATCGGAATGTCCGTCCGTCCGTTACGCTTTGGAGTACAAAAATTTCCGCAACTCCTCTCATACCACTAAATGAAATTAAACGACTTTCACAAAGCCTTTATTACATATTGCCATTGTGTGCCTCTTTTTCTACTTTATTTTACTACAGTATTTTATCTGACACATCTTTCTGGTTTCCCAAAGCAAACCATTGACACTATCATTCTCTCTTTAATATCAAAGGGTACCCATTTCTTATCAGTAACTCCTCCTACACAACTGAATAAAATTTGATATACTTTCACAGATTCTTCATAACATACTGTCATTGTGCACCTCTTATATGGGTCTCCAAGAGCAAAAAAATTAATTTTGCCATTTTAATCCTGTGAGAGGCATTGCCGGTATTTACTGAGCTAAGTGCTCACAGTACCTTTAGTTTTTAAAGTATCGATGAATGTTATTGCCATGATTATTTTAATATTTGTAAAATTCTCTCAAAATGCTTTGTAAGTGGTCTGCATTTTGTACGATCTCTCACTGAAAGGGTACAATAACTATCTTTTATTATATTCCCAAACTGCCATTCTTTCTATAATATTGAAGGGTACCCATCTCTTATCCTCAACTCCCCCTATACCACTTTATAAAATTAAATGATACTTTTACGGATTCTCTACAACATAATGTCATTAATTGTGCACCTTTTTGTCTCTAAGAGCAAAAAATGGACTTCCCCATTATAATAAAATGATAGACATGGGTATCATTAAGTAAGCTCAATGCTTACAGTACCTCTAGTTTATTTTATGATATTCTCTTAGATTCCATGAAGCGGATTATTATTTTAAACTTATATTTTATGGTATTGCTTGATCAGGTCTATAGGGCATAAACTGAGAATAGACTTAATGTCAAAATTTCAAATTAATGTAACTTTTCAAATAATGTTAAATATACAATATACATGTAAAACAAAATTTTAATCGTGGGTTTGTATTTGAATGAAAACCTGAAACTTTTCAATTATGCTTGTTAAATAGAAGTTAAGCGTGTCAATTTTCAATTATGAATTTTTCAAACTTTCAATTCAATTAATTTATTGTTTCGGGCCAGACCCCATGATCACGAAATATCTTAAGCTCAAGTCAAAGTCTAAAATAAAAAAATAATTTTTAGTCAAGGAGTTTAGAATTATTTTTTTAAATATTTTTTTAATACGAAAATGTTGTTATCTGTAAATTTAAAGACTGATTAAATAATTAATAAATATTTTCAAGGCGATTGAAAATTTGACTTAAGTCTTATTCTGTTTCATGGTCATGGAGCAAGGACTCCATGATATCAGTGTCAGACTGTACAAATATAATCTTCATACCTCAAAGATTTTGAACTTTTTTAGTTTACAGAAGAGAAGAAAATAATTTTTTGGTTTACCCCCCCCCCCCCATATCTTTGCGCTGTACTTTTACGTTGTGCAACTCAGTAAGAGGAGTCTTATATTATTTTATATTATTAACTAGCATGTGGTTTGATTAAAACATGAAATCTTTTAATTACGGAGAGTGCAAGTCAATATTATTTGCTACCAATTAGGTCTTCAGAAAGTTTTTGTTAATTTACATTTCTTATATCATTCTAGGGTTTCTGCAGCTGTTTGTTAAGAACTGGTAAAACTCAGCTGAATAATGATTTCGTTATGCTGCATTTTACATTTTAATCATTTTACATCTTAATTATTTTAAATTATTTCAGAAAGAAAGTTACGAGTATTTTAATTGATTATTTTTTGTCTTTTGAACCTATTGTTCATAAGTTAAACACTTTAATTTGATCTCTCTCTCTCTCTCTCTCTCTCTCTCTCTCTCTCTCTCTCTCTTGTGAATGAAAATGTACCTTTTTTATTTTTATTATTTTCCTTTATTTATAACGTCAGCAAGAGAATTACAACATTTATATTCCAACATACTTCCTGAGGCACTCTCTGTCATCACAGCAGTAGATTTCAGCATTTCCTGAAATTGTTTTCATGTAACGACAATCTTCACTCTGTAACAACAGAGATACACATTAGTAAAGCATACTGACTAGGAATAATAAATAACATGCATGTCAATTTTTGTACACGAATAATAAGGCTTTTGAAGTATGACGCGTAGATTGTAAATTTCATTATTTAATTTACTTGAACACAGTGTACTGTGAATCGAAATCCGTGGTCTGGGGACCTTGCCATGCAACATTCCGATGCAGAACATGTGTTGTTCCAGACACAGTTAAGGTTATCATCGCATGACGGACAAGGTATGCCTAAACAAAAAGCCAAAACAGCAATTACACAAGAAACATTAATTTTATTGACGCGAGCGTCAAAAATCGGTCGCAAACCAATTGGTCCTTTCAATGAAGCAATTAGAAACTGGAATGCTTGATCTGTTCTTAAAATATCTTATATTTATCTGTTAATTAATATATCCCTGTGACATTGTGCATTTGTTTGCAACTTTACAGGATTTTCTTCAATACATAATACATATACATTAATACATGTATAAGCAAACTACTCATAGTCCTCTGCATAGTTTGTTACAAACCAACTCGATCTGTCGAAGTTTGATGTTTTTGTTTTTAAAGTAGTTTCTACATTTAAAGGTTAGAACTAAAGTTTAAACTTATCTTATCCATAGAGACATATAGTTTTGCTTTAATAAAAACGCAACAAATATGTGGGGCTCTTCGCTCGCTCTCAGAGGAAGTTACCCCCTTCCCCCTCTCCCTCTAGATCCGCCGCTACATTTCTCCTCTTTTGTGTGAGATGTGGCGGGAAAAGACTTGGCATACTGTAAAACGCGTTTTATCCTTGTCTGTTGGAGCAAAATCTCGTAATATTCTGTCTGATAATAACTTGTCATTCAATCATTTGGAGATGAGACCTTATAAACCGAGTTCCCGTGCCAGCGGCAGGCGTTGGCACGATAAAGATCCCTCACTGATCAATGGCCCTGAGTGCCGAGCAAAGGTCAAAATTTGAAGGCCTTCACCGGCATATGGTGACGTCTCCATATGAGTGAAAAATTCTCGAGAGGGACGTTAAACAATATACAATCAATCAATCAATCTTTCGGAAATGTATATATACACGGCATTTTAAAATATATTCAACAAATCCTGTTTAAATAGAGAAAGTAAAATTGTTTATACATGTACTTGTATACTGTATAACGTGGTCTTTGCTTTAGACTATGCCCAACACGTCTCCGTACCCCAATTATGTCTGAGTTTGTTAATCAGGATTGGATGAAACATTTACCCCATATTTACAAAATTTTAATTTTATGATTATTGTGCGTATTTTGTTAATCATTTAAACACTCGATCTGTTTTAATATTCTATTATATGAATGTGCAATATTTTTATTTAAATTGCTTTAACTCCGCAGAAACGCACGACGACTTCAAACTTTCTTATCAAATAACCGACCACCTCCTGGCGGCCGGTAATAATATTGTGAAATCACTAATTTTCGTGGGGGGTTAATTTTTGTTGTTTTCATGGTATAAAAAGACCCACTAATTCATGCCCACCACGAAATGTAAATTTTATATGCACTACTACTAAAGAGTTCTTCATTCACGAAATCAAATCCCAACGAACCGACATTTTTTCCTCAAACCACGAAAATTTCACCCCCGAAAATATGTGATTTTACAGTATGCAGGTATTTCCTACAAACTCTCATTTTATGCCCCCGCTATAAAATGTTGCGGCATGTGTTTCAAAGTAAAGTTCAAGTTGTATAATAATTTTCCATTTTTGACTGAGTTATGCACGGCCCTTAGACTTCAAAAACTTCTTAAAATGTATTGTTTTCTGTATTCTTTTTAAGCATTTTTGTTTAAGAATTACATGTAGTTAAATAGCAACGTGTACTAGTATCATTGGTGTGTATTGAGCGTTTTTCGACTTTTGAAATGTATACAAAATGTTTTTCATAATTACTCACTGAAAGATATATTGTTACATATGGACAACAAATAATAGTTTTTTAAGAGAGGTGAATTTTATATTTTTAGAAATACATGTAAGCTTTAGGCTGAACAAAATTTCGAAAGCAGCTGAAAAACCATTTTATTTAAATTAACCGACAGTAAGCGAACATAGCCAGTATTGAAAAGAAGTTGGCATTGAAAAAAGGTAAGTCAATTCTTTTTTTCTCTGGCTGCCCCCCCCCCCCACTTTCGAAAACGATGCTACGTGGCTGCTAAATGAGCACATATTTCTTTTCATTAATTTTTTGCTTACATTTTTCTATGTATCGAAGAGTTCCTTACCGCAAGGTGAATTAGTACACTTTTTAGACTCTGATAAATTGGTTGGACACGGAGAACCATCAAATCGTGGAGGATGACAGACACGTGATCTAGTCATGTGACCGTCACCACAAGTCACGCTGCAGGAACTCCAGCTGCTCCAATCACCAGTCCAACCATTCACTAAAAATAAAGCAATTACTATAAACCAACTGTTATTCGCGATCATTCAGTTTGGAATCAAGCCGCCACGATTGATTTTCGCGACTGAGGAACAATTACATTTCTGTGAAACTTGTACTTTTAATTCATTCTTAATAACTGAAAAAACATTATAATTTTATTAGATAACTTTATATAATCCATACGAGTCTGTCACATCTGTTTCATATTCCGATGTTTTACTGACTATGGACGATAAAGGCTAATAACTTAATTGTGTAACAAATGATGACAGCTTTTCTATCATCAACCTTCCATTTTGGCGTTGATACTCAGGATACTCAGAGAATGCTCCTGATTATAGATTTAGTTGGGAGACGTAAATACCATATGCAAATAAAGATAACGGTATACCGCGAGATCAATCATTAAACCAAAACAGACAACTGGTAGGTAAGTTGAAGTTACAGGGATTTCTAAAACCTCGTTTAAATTCAGCATTTTGTATGGTACTCAGTATTTAAAATGACTTTGATGGCAAATATAAATTATCATTAGGTTTTATTTAACAAGCGTGCTTCATACCAACTGTGAGGCCATTGTTGAACAGTGAATTTGACTACACAATGTTATACATGATAAAAAATAAAGAAATGATTCGAAAATAGTATACTAGATATTTACCTGGGCAGTAATTATCATGACATGATTCGCTTTCTCTCACATCTCCGTTGCATTGTAAGCCTCCATGCTGTGGTTGATGACAGACACGTGACCTTGTCTTTTGACCCCAACCACATGTCTGGCTACAGGAAGTCCAGCCATTCCAGTCACTCAAAACACCATCAACTTAAGAAAAAGACTTTAGCAATAGACTGATTCTTTAACAATAAAAAATAACATAAATAATTTAATAATTTAAGTGTGATGTGGTGATTTTCACAGTAGAGTTATCTCTCTTTGTTTTCATACACTGTTTGTCATTGAAGGTAATTTCCACATCTATTTTTAGTAACAGAAATTCTGTTCAGCTAAAGTATTTAAGATTTTCATTTAAAATGATTTTTGTCATTGTCATTTTTTCAAATAATCATGGAAAATACACATTAGTTTTTATTTAAATGTATTGTTTAATATTTTGATAATTTCAACATCACTTCCTGTGATCACGTGACTTCATAGTTTATGATTTTGCACGAAATGTTTCGCGCTAGGAAGGCTGTGTGTTGAACATTGTTGAAGCTGAATCATTTCTAGCTAGGTGTACCAACTGTAAGTTTACATTTTTTTTTAATATAGCTTTGCTCATAATAGTAAAGTATGCTTTGGAAGGGTTATTTTAATACTTGTAAAGTCTGAAAATATTTATTTTAATAGAATAAGTTCAGCATGTTTTGTTGATAAACGTTCCATATAATATTGACTATTCATTTTATTTTTAGTGATGTTTAATAGGCTTTTGTTATGAAGAAGTTTGAATTTATTTTACGAGATATACTTTTGCTATTGTTTACAACTATAATTAGAGGTACAATTTTCGCCCCAGTTTTATTTTCGCCCCTTTCGCCCTCTTCTTGATTGGACGAATTTAAAACGCGGCGAATTCAAATTACACAGTATAATTTCTTAAACAGAACTATGACAGGGCGAATTTAAAACGGGGCAAACTGTTTGCAAGTGCAAAAGGGCGAAAATAACACGGGGCGAAAATAACCCTGTATACAGTATTTATTTTTTAGTAATGCATCATTACATTCATGTGAATTTACATTTGAGAGTAATGTCATGTTTTTCTTATTTTTTTCATTTGTACAGCACACTGTCATTACTGCCATTACTATTACCATTATAATTTACCATTGATATTCATATAAAACTTATAAAAAGAACAGATCTGGTTATCACGTAAGTAAAATTTAACAAAAGATCTTATCAGGAAATTTCTATGTTACATTTTTTCCGTAAAACCAAAATTATTATACTTGGACAAGGTTGTGTTTGGCTACAGGCTTCTGTCCTCGAAGATGACCCCTGACATGACCCTGACCCCATACACCTCCTTGTAGAAGTCCTTGTTCCACCTGATCCACAAGTCACACTACAAGAACCCCAAGTACTCCACTGTCCCCAAAAAGAAGGCTCTAGAGAAGGTAGTAACTGTTTAGCATTTATACAGGTAATTAAATAAAGTACTTTTCCGTATTCTTTTTTTTTTTTTTTATTTTTTATTTTTTTTTTTTTTTTTGGATAACGTATAAATTTATTAATGTTCATTTATTTTCTCTTTATTAAAAATAAATGATAATTATGGATTGCTAAAATAGATATAGTAGCCAAAACGAAATTTATCTCTTCTCTTGCATTTATTCAGGTTGGGTAACACATGGCTCTTTCCTATAACCATTGGAAAGAAACATTAAACTCGCCAAATGTTATTCCGGATATATTGTTCCCCATACATTTTCGGCTAAACATTAAATCTCAACATTGCATACTTTGTAAAAAAAAAAAATGATTTAACTAAGGTAACGTATGTATTTCTTAATTAATATGATTCAGTTTTGTCTCTTGTCGTCGTTCTTTGATAGTTCTCTTCTCCGTTTATTGTAACCCAAACTAATCCAAAGTCCCTAATCTAAAATGATTTGAATTTATACGAAGGAGAGTTGAATTCTAGTATGACTATCAATGGTTTTACTGTTCATCCTCAGAGGCAATGATTTGAACAAACCTGAATATATGCTACCTGAGGATGCTCCTTTATCAATATAATTTTCATGACTTTGTTGAATTTAAGATTTTTAAAATATGATATTATATGTTGCCTCTAACCATCGGATCATACCGTGAACATAATTAAATCTACGCCACCTGAGGATAAATATAGATACTAAATGACTAATCATGTCTGTTCTTCCGAAGATTTTTAAGTTTCGAAGTTTTCTTCCTTTATATTCCTATGCAAAACGAATTCTTATTGTTGTTCTGTCCAAGACCGGGTATCATGATATGTATAAACAACTGAATCTGCTCTACCTGAGGATGTTTCCACATTACAATGTAATATGTTTCATAATTGCTTTATTGTTCCTTTGGAAGATTTCATCCAAGGATACTTTGAGGCAAAATCGATTAGCAACAATAGACCAGGGATTCTGGAAAAATCGAAGATGTGAAAAAAATACCGACGACAGACGGGTGGATGGACAGTCACCAAACATTCTATCAGAAAAGCTCTCTTGAGGCTTGGGCTCAAGTGAGCTTAAGATGTATTAAAACTAAATAAGAATCCGTACTTTTTCTGACATGACAGCAACCAACATGAAATGCGTTGAATTGACAGTAAGCTTCCTCGTCACTCGCCACGTGCATCATGTTTATACAACGTGCGTGGGACATACATATTATACCAGCAACAGCTGTAAATAAAATAAAAAGAATAAAAAAGTATAAATTATTCAAAAATCTTCAAAATTATATTTTGGACATCAAAATAATTTTTTTGAAATTTACATGATATTGCTTTGAATCTGGTTGAATCTTCAAAGAAGGTCATCGGCATTAATTTGATTTTTAGCATGCATTGATCATAGGTTTGCTTTATGTAGAGGCCAGTACAATGTTGAAGCGGGAGGGGGGTCTTTTTCGTTCTATGATATGGAACACCGGTATTATAAACGCGGCTTCAACCAAACAACTGCTCTCTATGTCTCATGGTGTTAATACCATGACACTATAAATGAGTGAAACGTTCCAACTACTTGGCGACGCAGGCGACTATTATACATGTACTTAGAATCATTTCCATCCACGAGGATCAGTTTGTGAATATGATACAAATTCAAGGGAACATGAAGAATATACAGAAGTTTCGGTGAACAATGCTGATTGTATGTTTTTTGAAAGTTATGACCCCAAACATTAGTTCTCTATAAATCAATTGATTTTGCAGTAGCTTAGAGAAAAAAAACGTATTAATTACATTTTTTCTGTTGGCCAATTTAATTTAAGATTATAAGATATTTAAAAATACCACTGTACAGCCTATGCTAGAGTAGCTTTCATAATATCAGTACAAAAAAAATATTTTTTAAAAATGGAAAATACTCGTATATATGGAGATAACAAACAGTATTCAAGCTCAAAAGTCCATAAAACAATACAATATAGGAGCATAGCACACACGGACTTCCAAAATATCAGAGGTGGGATCAGGTGCCATGGAGGAGTGAGAATACCCTACACACCGGTCACACCCGCCGTGTGCTCCTTGGCATGATCGGGAAATAACGGGAAAATCCGTCAACAATTCAATGCGTATGAAATGACCTAACAATTAGTATGAAAACCTTCAGTAAAAATTTAAGTAAATGATAAACAGTATTTGTTGACAAATTGCATCGACCATAGGACAAACGAAATGATGAGTTAAAACGAGACTGCTGATGTTTTTTATTTATATAAAATTTTATTCACGAAGTGAATGGGATTGAGCAGCAGGAAATGCCTATTTTAGCCCTCTCCCTAAATATTATTGCCCTCAGACTGCTGATGTTCTTGCTTCAGCAATATGCTTATCAATAACTTACCTTGTTTTTAAAACAGCCTCTAAACAATGCTAACTATTGATAAATATGTTGATGAAACATAAGATATTTACAGTTTTGTGGTCGATATAATCCTGTCAGTAAATACAATCTAGCATTAAGTCGATAAAGACTTACGTTTTTCACACCATCTGTTGGACCATTATTTACACTCGATTGTCCGTGGATTTGTGTTCCGTTTACCCGATTACGATAAAGAGTACGTACATGTTGACAAAGAAAGCTTACCTCTCTACGGCATCTATTCCACTTATGAAGTTCTTAGAAGTCCGTGTTTGCTCTACTCCAGATTTATATAGCTTTTATAGACTTTTGACCTTTACTACTGTTTTCCATATCTTCATATTTCCTAATCTTTAAGTATTCTTAATTGTTACCTGAGAAAGTATCCAAGAGACTTATAACAACAAGGAATATAACATATTTGTTCATGATTGGACGTATGTATATTCCTCAGTGATCGTCTTCTTATCAAAGTGTTATCAAGGTGAAAATTCCTCTTATTGTGTCATAATTATTGCCATTTTCTAGCAATGAAAGATAAGTGTAAATACGTAAAGAATAAGCAATGCTCTCCTTTACCTGGGTCCAGAATCAAGCAATCTTGAAATCAATTGCAGCCACTCAAGTGATTAATATTTATCCCAATAATGCATTTGAATCTAGACAATACAGAAGAGATCAAAATTGAATTATATTTAAAACTTTATTCTAGATTAGAACTTTATGATTATCTAGAAATTCTGATTTGGATCTAAAACTGCAGCTTGATCATAGCACCAACAACCAATTGCATAATATATAGTTATTCACGAATGCTTCATATAATTATGATCTATAACTCTTACACTAATATAGGATATCGTTCTTGTAAATATATCAAATGAATACTAAGCTTTTAAAATATATTTGAGACCGCATCATTTGCATTTTACTTTTCCAATACTTTCAATTGTAAATAGCATCAAAAATGGTCGACAGATATGTCTCCTCTTCTGTGTTTTAATACATGGAAGTTTGTATCGCAACTCACATGACTTTGAATGTGAATTTATGGGATTGTCTTTCATTCAAAATCTTAGAGGACTCCCACCTCGATTGACTTGGATATGGCAGCAAAGAGTGATTTATTGACTCGGAGTGTTACTAGTGGCTTAATCATGTTAATATGCCCACTTCTGATTTTGAACTTCTTCTACCTTTGTACAGAGTCTTTGACAACTCATCGAAAGATAGCTCATTGATACAAACACTCATAGAAAGAACATGGAATGGCATTAAGGGAACATTTTAACTTTTGTACATTTTCAGCTTCTGAAACCAGTTAACCAGTTTAATCCTTGTGGCATATAGCATGTGAAATTCATGGCGCGTTCCCCCTTGGAGCTTGAGGGGTCGAGCTAAATCCTTCAAAATAAGTGCAAAAAAAAAAATCAAGAATTCAAACTGTTGGCATGAATGTAATAATCATTGAGCCCGCATCCGAAATTCATGGTCTCAGGGTCAGAGGTTCTGGTGCTAAGGATCCATTGAATATTTAGTGAAAAGTTATTAAAATAATCTTCTCCTCTGCTCCTGGATATTAAACAATCATATTTAATACATATTTCTGATGAGGAAGGGTGCCTCCTCCACAATTGTATATTCCATGCCCCCTGGGGTTCTGATGAAAAGGCGGGGCTCTGTTGATTAGATATTAAAAATGCATCAATTCTATAAAAAAAATTCTTCTTCTCCTTTCCTCGTGTGTATTAACCAAACAAACTAAATCCAGTTATGATGAACATGGGCACCTCTTCCAAAATTGAGAATTTCATTGCATCATGACTTTCACCTGGTGGAATTAACATTCAGGTGCATATTATCCAGAAATCAGTTACTTTATGGAGAGGACAATATAAGAGATTTATGCCTGCTGTTCAATCCAGTTCATTAATATGAATATATTTTAAACCAACTCACCTCACTTTCATGGACATCACAGAGACAACAATTAGAAATTTAAATATTTTAATGTATCTCATCCATTGAAATTGAATCCCGATTTTATTTTCCAACGAGATGACCTGAAAAAGAGAACTTTTTAAATACCGGTAAGGTTTGGCTAAAATGGCTGATTAATAGATAGTTTATGATTGTTAAATCTAAATAGTTCAAATAAATAATAAAATTATTCAAAGAGTTTCAATAGTTAAATTGTTCTAGAAATATTGTAAGCCTTTTTATACAAAAATATACAAAAAAAAAGATAAATTAATATGTACTGGTCCCTGCTGACAAAGCAGGTAACAACATTGTCTTCGTTTGTAAGGCTCATTATATAAATTGTATTTTAGAAGAACTTGGATTTAATTGTACAAGTGGTAATCCAACTTATACTTATAGTTCCCTTTCCAAGGAAGAAATTCTTCACCTCTTTCTTTACTCCTCACCAAGATATTAGCAGTAGTGAGGGAGAAACTTCAATAGTACTGTGCACCAATATATTCAAGAAGTGGTTTTAATCAGAGGTGGATACTTAAAAATTCCAAGGAACTTTTGGACAATGTGAAATTACAAAATTTCATCAAAATCAACAGCTTAAAAACTTACGACTTTTCAACTTTATACACAACCATTCCCCACGATAAATTAAAGTCCAGGCTTTTTGATATTCATTGACAGCTGCTTTTTCAATAAAAATGGAACTCGTAAATTTACTTACCTTGTCATTGGTCATTCGCAAAATTATTTTGTTAAAAATATTCTGATTGTACACACAAGTACTCTGAAGTTGACATTAAATAGATGCTTGAGTTTCTGATTGACAATATCTATGTCGTTTTTTGAGACCAGGTCTTCCAACAATCTACTGGAATTCCCATGGATACCAATTGCGCCCCGTCATTAGACTTTTTTATATTCCTATAAAGCAGAATTTGTGCAAGATCTTATGCGTGAAAAGAAGTAACACTTGCTATGGCCTTCATCTCGACATTTAGATACATCGACGACGTACTGTCAATTAACAATGGTCATTTCCATTCTTGTGTCGATACGATATATCCTTGTGAGCTTGAGATGAAATTAAAGATACCACAGAGTCTGACACATTTGTTTCATATATGGATATTTTACTTGAAAAAAAAACGTTAATGGTAATCTAACAACCATGCTCTGTGATAAACGTGATGACTTTAACTTTTCTATCGTCAACTTCCCTTACCTATGCAGCAATATACCTTCATCTGCATACGGAGTTTATATATCTCAGTTGATTCGATACGGAAGAGCATGCCCTACTTATGAACAATTTTTAAAACGAGGTAATTTATTGACAAACAAGTTGATGAAACAAGAATTTCAGCTGTCTCGTTTAAAGTCATCATTTCGTAATTTCTATGGTCGATACAATGACCTTGTCAGCAAATACAATTTATCATTGAGTTAAATGCTGACTGACGTTTTTCATACTTATTGTTAGTCCATTATTTATACACTAAATTGACTACGGGTTTTTTCCGTTATTTCCCGAACATGACAAGGAACACACGGCGGGTGTGACCGGTCGGCAGGGGATGCTCACTCCTCCATAGCACCTGATCCCACCTCTGATGTTTCGGAGGTCCATGATTGCTCTGCTCCTACTTTGTATTGTTTTATGGACCTTTGATCTTGAATACTGTTCGTTATCTCCATATGTTTCATGAAAATGAAAGGCATGATCTATCTTCCTCAACACATATTTTGTTCAAAATGTAAATATATTTTTTTGTCTGCTTTCCAAAAACACATGCTTTATTGGTCTGTTCACGGATTTGAATTACTTGTAGATTTTTAAGAGACGAATAACTGTTCGTTATCTCCATCTTTTCACGCTTGTTTCATCAACTCATTTGTCAACACTTGTCCAGTTCCAAATACTAGATGCAAAAGCCCAAATTGAAATACATACCTTCTTTGCAAAATCAACATTGTAATTTATACTTTCTTTGCAAAATCACAAATTTTATTCTATACTTTCTTAGCAAGAGCACAAATTTAAATATACACTTTCTTGGCAAAAGTCCAAACTGTTATTTGAAAGACTTTCTTTGGAAAAGCCCAAATTGTAATACATGTATACAGTCACTTTCTTTGCAAGAGCACAAATTGTAATGCATACTCTCTTGTCAAAAGCCCAAATTGTAAAATATACTTTCTTTGCAAAAATACATATTGTAATTTAGACTTTCTTTGCAAAAGCCCAAATTGTAATATATACTGTCTTTGCAAAGGCCCATATTGAGATACATACCTTCTTAGCACGAGTCCATTGTAAAACATACTAGTACTTTCTTTGCAAAAGTCCAAACTGTAATACATACTTCTTTTGCAAAAAGCACAACTTTTACAAACTGGAATCACAGAAAGTATGAATTTCTGACCTTCACATTTTATTTTGTGAAAGAGTGCATTTTTATTCTTTTCCAAGACCTGCGTATCTAATATCTACAGCAGAAACAACAGAACTACACTCTATATCCCAATATATTTTCTAAGACAGTCTCTATCATCACAGCAGTAGATTTCTGAGTTGTGTAAAAATGTGGTCATGAAGTGACAGTCTTGACTCTGTAATGAAATTACAAGTTTATTCATCTCAAAAATTGCAAATTATTTACTACAGAACAGACTTTATTCATAAATAATATAATTTGACCATGACCGTTAAGTAAAGAGTTACTTACTAGGATACAATGTACAGTGAATTGAAATCCGTGACCTGTTACAGCCCTCACCATGCATGATTCTGATGCTGAACAGGTCTGATTCCAAACACAGTTCAGGTTTTCATCGCATGAGGGACAAGGTTTACCTAATCAAAATTAGGGGCACAGGGTATTTTGTTACAATGTATATAAATGTATGTAATTCCGCTGACTTAACATTAATTTACTGTATAAAGAAGCATATTTTCAGGAAATAGATCAGTACCTGGTACATTAGTGGTAGCTGAAGTGGTTGTTGTTGATGTTGTGGAAGTGGCTAAAACCAAAAAGGGAAATAATACTCAGTACTCAGTTTCTTAATAACCTAAGCGGAATTAACATGTTTCTCTACATAAAATAAACTATCACCAGATTTGATTAGCTTTTGGCCAAAAAAACCCGCATGTTTAGGACAACGTTACCATGTCGTATTTTGCTATGGTCTTACTTGTACAAGAATGGGAGCAAGCCTGGTTATCTCTGACATAACCCGAGCAGTAGGATCCTCCATAGGCTGGGGGAGGGTTGTTACACTGCCGGAGTCTCTGTCTCGTTCCTTTACCACACGATACACTGCATGGAGACCAGGCAAGCCAATGTCCCCAGTGACCGTCCCCTTTAAATATACACTCATTTAGATTAATAAAAATAACGGTAAATATATCAAGGGATATTCACTCCTCCATTGCAACTGATCCCAATTCAGATGTTTTAGAGGTCCGTGTTTGCTCTGCTTCTAATTTGTACTGTTTGAATAGACTTCTGAAATTGAATACTGTTCGTTGTCTTAATATATTTTACGTACTGTTTTTAAATGAAAATTTCAGCGAGAAGAAAATTTAGCGATATGTCCTTAAAATCACAGCATAATTTAGCGAGAAGTAACATTAGCGATTTTTTGTGCAGAGAAAGATAACGGTAACCTATATTGCAGAATATATTGTTTCCAGTATTTTTTTTTAGGGATCTCAACATCCTTTCTGTTTAATATATACGGTATATGATTTAATTGATATGGAAAAATATATTAAAGTTTTGTAATTGCCATGCAGTGAGCAAGTTAACCGATTTGAGGTCAATACACACGTGGACAATGTGATGAATTTGCACGGCACACTTCTCCTTGGAGGTGGTTACCGACACAAAAATCGTTGGTGGTGCCGCTCTTTGCACAATTCCGCTGCCTTGTTCGCGAACCCGACGCAGCGCCACACGTTACGCTGCACTGACTCCATGCGGTCCACGTCGACCAAATTGCATCAGCTTTAAAAATAAAAAGATTTTAGCATTCAATGGTTTTTTTACTTAAACAGAAAAAAAATGCCTACAATACATGTCTTAATTAGGTAAAGTTGCATGTATACATGTAGTAGGGCGCAGAAACAGTTAAACTGAACATTTTTTAATACTCACATTGGCTGCATTTACATTGGCTGAATAAAATGGTAGCGCAGTATGGCGCGTATCCTGCAGGACACTGGATACCTCCGCAATCATCATGATTTGTACAGGGTATAGCGCCATAGCAATCTGCAAAAAATACTTAATCGTTGGCAAAGGAAGAAAAATCTAGATTATGGCACGCCAAATTCAAAAATATGAGATAAACATAATTTCACAGTCGAAAAACTAGGTTTATCGGTTGCAAACTATAGTGTACGGACTGTAAACTATAGTTTACAACGTTAATCTACATTTTACATATGTAAACAATGAGTTAACGCCATAACCTATGTTTCAGAACCGTAAACTATACTTAACACTGAAAACATTCATTTGCGATTTCAAAACAAAGATTAGCTGATAAATACAGTTTCACGATTTGTAAACTATGGTTAACAATCTGATAAATATAGTTTTAAGATTTGTGAAACTATGATTAACAACTCTTAACTATAGTTCACGATTGTAAATCATAGTTTACAGACGTGAATCTATGTTTATCAACAAAATCTATTGTTAGCGTTTTATTACAGACAGATAAACTTAGATTAGCATTCGTAAACTATAGTTAACGACCGTTAAATATAGTTTAACAGATGAAAACTATAGTTAATGAATTTTTTCTTGATAGCTCACGGTTTGTAAATTATAGTTTACAGTCGATAAACCTAGTTTATCAACTGTGAAACTATGTTTAGCTCATTTTTGTGCAAAAAAAGACGGCATCCTAACATCCAGACATGTCTTAAACTTATTAGAATCCGACACTCTTAATAAAGCATTTGGTCAGTTGCTCATTTGTAAAAATTAATTAAGAGTGTTTCGGTAGTATTAATAGCACATGTCATTTCATAATTGTGATAAGGCCTGCCATCATCAGGGGTTCACCTTATGCATAAATCAATCAATTTCTTTGAAATTCATTTGATTTTAATTTGGATCTAATGATAAGATCGCCTATATTCTTGTGTTTGCTGTATGCCACCATAGGGGGTGTTGTGAATAATTCTTTGCATACATCGTCATCTAGTATATAATTCCCAATATTTCATAAGTCGTTTCCTTAACCCCTTTATACATGAGTTAAACTTGGTGACCAAAACGTTGGGTACAGCCTTTTTGTTGTTTTTCATCTTTGATTTTTTTAAATGTGATTTGATGAATTGCTACATTCTGTCGAGAAAGCATATTTAGCAGACAATTCTAATCTGGAACTACCTCGACCTATTAAATTAAATGAAAATCAAATGAAGTTCAAAGAAATTGATTGATTTATGCATAAGGTGGACCCCTGATGATGGCAGGCCTTATCACAATTATGAAATGACATGTGCTATTAATACTGCCGAAACACTCTTAATTAATAAAATATGATGATAGAATTTATATAAGTTTTAAAAATTTAAAATATATTTTAGGGCCAACATAAAATATTATCACTGCATAAAATAAATCTGTGTGCAGACTATATGTAAAAATAGGAGTATTTTAAAAATAAATGTCTTAGTATGTCATTTTCTTCTAAAATAACCTTCCTTCACAAAATATAGTACTTAGTACGCTGGGTTTTTTTTAAATTTTATTCTTATAATTTACTGAATTTAAGGTCCACTAGCAAAGACTGTTAAATTAACGAGCATTATTACTAAAGCATTGATTTGGTAACTTATTAAAATGAACATGAACTAGATTCAAGACAAGTAGTGACCGTACTGGTATACCGATGTTCCAATATGCAAATGATCAGTACCTCACTTTGTCTTATTTCTTACTTAAGATGGTTAGTGTGTCACGAAAAAGGTAAAATTTATACCGAGCACTTTCCATTTGTAGATTCTTGTCTATGTTACTTGATAACGATTTTACATATGATTTCAAGATCCTGTTCAGAAATTACAATGCATAGGGTTCAATGCAAAAACATAAACCAGTTGTTTGCTTATTGTGTAGATGTGTTTTGAAACATCTTTCATAATCATCTTACCTATTATGAATTCCAGAAACCAAAAAATGGCGAATATTGGTACAGAAAATTTCATCTTGGCTTATCTCTTTTCCGAGGACACATTCACTTACGACAATAGCATACACATTGATCATGTAGATAACATTTTAAACATGCGAATTCAGAGAATCTGTGTCTCCCGCTTAAATAAAGAAATAAAGAATAGAATGCGCTGGTCGGAAGGGGAGGGGGTGTCGAGGGAGCACATAAAGAAGGGCGGGGCGGGGGGGGGGGGGGGCGCGCGCAAAGAGAGTTATGATATTAAATATAATTGCAAAATCTCAAAAGCTTCTTGAGATATCGTCCGGAAATGAAAGTTTTACAAGTACACAGAATACATGAATTTACGACCTTTACCTTTTGACCTCAAAATAAATCGGTGTCTTCCTTAGGCCATTGGGATTTGTGGAATAAAAAGTTATTACAAAAGCTCAAAGGTTTCTGACATATCGCCCGAAACGAAAGTGTTAAAACAGAAATAATTACTGAATTTATGACCTTGACCTTTTAACCTCAAAACAATATTTCTTAGGCCATAGGAAGTTGTAAAATTTCATTGCAAAGACTCAAAGGCTTCTAGAGATATTGCGTGGAAACGAAAGTGTTACATACAGACGGACAGACCAAAATTAATATCCCCCACTTCAGCAGGGGACAATAACTCGGTAACACCATTTCGTTGCATCTACATACTGGGATCCCCCCCCCCGGTTTTTTTTTCAAGATGAATACTGTAGATCACTTAATTTTCGCGACAACTTATTTTCGCGAGATAGTTATTTAGTCTTTATTAGCGAGACAAAATTTTCACGAATTTTAAGGAATTCTATTTTATGCGAGAATGAAATTTTAGCGAGAATACCGTCTCGCGTAATTAAGCGAAAATGAAGTTCTGGCGAATAAAAAGTGATTTACAGTAGTTAGTTTGATTTGAAAATGTTCATAAAAAAGGACAGTTCCCCATCCTTAAATTCCTAATTACAATACTGAAAAATTATATTTATGCTATAAATATTTAAGGAATCACTGTTTAGTTAGTATAGTATGCCAGGGCATAAATGATAGTGGGAAACATGGAATAATTTGCATAACGCGCGAAGCCCGTTATGCATAAATTATCCCATGTTTCCCACTATCGTTGATGTCCCTGGCATACTATATTAACTAGACAGTGATTCCTTATATTTCAACTTCACTGTAAAATAAAATTATAGATTTAGATTTGCCAATTTCAATTGTCCTCGACCACCGACGTCAAACACAAAGGCAGCAGCACGAGAATTGCATGCATATTTGACCTCCTTAGCGTCAGACACAGAGACAGATGCGCATGAGATTTGCATGCATATTAGGCCTCCTTAGCTCATGGCCTACGTGTCTGCTTCAGACATCACATGACAGTGGTACAACCATATACATCAGCAAGAGACCCCCTTTTGCCACAAGGTTCACCTGAGTAACTGAACTCTCTTCATGATCTGATTTTTCCTCTCTCTCTCCATTCGCGTGATTTTTTTACCACATATTTTTGCAATTTTCTAGACACAGTGGGTCACGGCAAAGTCTTACTTGACGAAACACGCCATCGCACTAATACACAACACTTTGACAAGCTATAACGCAACTTCACATAATACGCCGTCAATCTAAACACACAATACGTTGTGTATAGCGTGATTGCTTGCTGTGTGTTAGCGTGACGGCATGTTGTGTAATGTTGCGTTTGTGTGTTGTCACTTGCAAAAATGCAACAATGCGTTAGGAATAACGCGTTAGTGCGATGTGAATAAGTACTAGCGTGTTGCCAATTGCAAAAGTGGAACATTATGCTTTGGTAATAACGCGCTATAACACTTTTGAAAATGGTCCTACCGAGGCACCTAAATGAACCAATTTCAACCAACCTTGGCATATAGCAACTATGTATTAGGTTACTATAAGGGAAACAAATATAAATTTTCATTGCCCCTGTCCCTGAGACTTTTGGACATTAATCACTTAAACTATCGGCATCAATGAACCCTCTACCAGAATTATAAATTCATGGTCTCAGGGAGAGGGGTTCTGATCACAAGCACTTGTCTCTGTAATATTTTCTAACTTTAGTATTTTATACAACGGATTCAAAATATTATTACAGAAACAAGTACCTGTGTTTATTGCGTAAAAAATGGACTCTTTAGATCATAAACTAGTTAGAATACAATAATTCTTCTGTGTTTCTGGAGAGGATAAAAATGTGGAAAGTCTACCATAAAAACATCTATGACAATTTATTGGAATTCTTAATCTTTCTACATGTCTTCCGGTATTTAGTCTTGGAAAAAACTTCACATTTCAAAGACAAATGTAGAAATGCCTTCCCATAATTTTATTATAAATATCACATGTTACAGAAAAAGTTAACAATATACTCCATCTCAGCTTTAAATTGTCACTCTAGACAATTTTTTCAATCTAGTATGGAAAACAAGATCTTTATTTAATAAACCTGCTCTTCCCTCTTTCTATGAGTGCCTGTTACACTTTGTATACACATTTATGATATTATGTGATACTTTTTATTGACTTGGTCCATGGACATCTTCAATCACATCTGATTTAGTTATCACAATTGTGTGTGGTCTATAACTAGGACTATCATCACATTGTGTTTATTTCTCCCATTATATTCACCACTCGGTCCTTGTATCGCTTCGATATTTCAGCTTCCATCTGAAGTGAACAAAAACGGTTTTAATTAATAATCAACATCAATACTACAATAGTTGGAACTTTTGCTAAAGAGTATAGAAACAACAATCCCCAAAATCACATCTATTGGTCATGTGATAAGTCTATGTTTCGAAAAAGGTTGAATACTTGAAATTTAACACCAAAAACAGAATGTTCCTGTTCAAATGTTCTTAATGTAATTTTCAAAAAAGAACCCAGAACTTTCAAGTCTTGGAATAAATCCCATTGAATGCAATTTGAAAACTGATTAAAGATCTTAAAATGTGCTTCATTCTAACAGTTACTTTATTTCTTAAAATTTCACTGAGTACCATATAGAATCGTGTTTGGGGTAAGCTTCTTCTGTGATAACAGGGGTGTGTTCAACAGCATTAATTGCTATGCTATACATAAAGCTTTGCTTTTGAACCGAAAGCTAAGTTAGCCGCTATGTAGGGAGAGCCAGCATAAGTATTTGATGCTACATTTTTTTGTAAGTACCAAATCTAAGATGGCCTTCTTAGTTACAACTCAGAACACATGATGTTAACAAAATAGTGTATTATTTTCTATTCATCTGAGGGAATTAAATGTTTTGCATATATTTTTTTGCTTGAAATAAACTCCTTTTGTTCCAAAAATAAGGTTTTTCATATATGCAGTAGTTTTATCCAAAATCTGACACTTAGCGGCTAAACTAGCTGTCCATTCAATAGAAATAGATATTTATAGATAGATATCTAACACTTACGTGTAGCTGCTATGTTAGCCACTATGATCGAGAACACAGCCCAGGACAATCCTAACTAAACTTTTATCTACTGGTCCAACTGGTTATGCAGATCTTTGGTGCGTTTGACGACTAATGTTACACATGTATCTTTAATACAGTTCCGAGTGTTGAATGACTAGTGTTGCCTGTTTTATATGTAGGTCTTTGGTCTTTTACTGCATCTGATGACTAGGGGTGGGACGATACACAGATCTTGCGATACGATACGTATCTCGATATACTGGCACCTTACTATACGTATCTCGATATTTTTATAAATTATAAAACTATTTTAAAAAATTAGTATTTTATTTCATTTCTTGTCTTGTCATTAAATCAACATGATAAATTGCAAAACTATTCAAAAGAATTAGTATTTTATTTCATTTTTTGCCTTGACAATTATTCTACATCAAATCTTGTGTGCTTTGAAATTAATACGTGAAGTTCATCAATATCATTCACTAAAACTTTACAAAAACAATAATACATGTACATACCAAACTACATGTACTTTAATTTAAGAAGTTGTTTACAAATTAATACTTGTGTAGTTCATCAGAGAACACAGACTAAAATTCGTTTAAAAACATCACATTTACATTTTTATTAATTGCTGAAAGTCTGTAGCAAAGCTGAGATTACAAAAAAATACGAGATGGACTAACATTTAATAATATCAAATGCTCTGGAAACGATGCTTTCTGTGTATAGCACGCATTACATACTGAACTTTTCTTGCCCATCTTACGAGGCTGCTTAAAAGTGAAAACATTTTACCCCTATTAAACAACGACTTATTAGTTCTAAAGTGTGTTTTCAATAATCAGCATCATCTTTTCGCTTCGTACAAGCCGCCATTTTCCAAGAAATGTACTTTCATTTTCAATTTTGGATAGGTCGTTCGTGTATCGTTTCGTACCGATATTTGAATGCTTGTATCGTAAACCGTATCTTAGAGGAAAATATCGATATGTATCGGTGTATCGGTATATCGTCCCACCCCTACTGATGACTAGATTTACTATTTTGCAGTTCTTTGGAGCATTTGATGACAAGTTTTACTTGATTCTGCAGTTCTTATCTAATGTATACCCATTATAGTAGTTCTTTGCTGCATTTGATGTCAAGTGTATAACCTGTTTTTACAAATCTAATGACATAATGATGACTTGTCTTACTTCTTTGGTGTGTTTAATGTCTACTGTATTGTATACCTGTTTTGCAGTTCTTTGGTACATTTGATGTATGGTGTACCTGTTTTTGCTGTTCTTTGGCAAGATTGATGACTAATGCATACATACCTGTTTTTGCAGTTCTTTGGTGCGTTTGATGACTAGTTCTAGTTTAGGCTGTGTTTCTGACTGCTCAGTCTCAGCATCCTTATGTTTGACGACCATCTCTTTCTCCAGGAACACCATCTTGTCAGCCAAGTTTAACATCTGTTTTAATGTGTCCTTTAAACGTTCCACATACCTAAAATTTTTCAATTCTTTATTAATTTTTGCTTTAAAATTAAACTGATGTACTTCTAAAAACTTTTAAGTAAATTTTATAAATTCTACCTTAATATAATTATAAAGTTGAACAGTTGAACCTTGATATCTCCAACAATGATATCTCAAATACCATGGATATGTCAGAGTGAATTGGAACTCCTTATCAATTATTTACACTCCATATTTCAAATCCTTAAACATCTTGAATTTTTTTCTAGGTTGCATTGAGTTTGAGATAAGGAGGTATGACACTACACTTATCTATACATCGAAAAATAGTAAACAAATGTCTAACTTTTCTTGCAAAAGGGCTGAAAATTTATATAAACCAGAAGTCTCTGTCGAGACTGTAGCTCTACTGGTATGTACTTATCAAAAACCATTGCACTATTTTATGTATCTTTGTGTAGTCTACTTGTGTGCCAACTTATTTTGAAATCAAACTAGAACTGTAGAAGGAGTACCGTTTTTAAGGAATTTCACAGAAAATTCTATTTTTAGTAACCATGGTAAAACCGTTCATCGAAATCAGAAACCGATGCACTATTCTATGTATCTTAGGGTAGTCTACTTGTGTGCCAAGTTATACTGAAATCAGACCAAAACTGTAGAAGGAGTAGCGTTTTTAAAGAATTTCACAGAAAATTCTATTTTTAGTAACCATGGCAACACCGTTCATTGAAATCAAAAACCGATGCACTATTCTATGTATCTTAGTGTAGTCTACTTGTGTGCCAAGTTATATTGAAATCAGACCAAAACTGTAGAAGAAGTAGCGTTTTTAAGGAATTTCACAGAAAATTCTATTTTTAGTAACCATGGCAACATCGTTCATCGAAATTAAAAACCGATGCACTATTCTATGTATCTTAGTGTAGTCTACTTGTGTGCCAAGTTATATTGAAATCAGACCAAAACTGTGGAAGGAGTAGCGTTTTAAAGGAATTTCACAGAAAATTCTATTTTTAGTAACCATGGCAACACCGTTCATCGAAATTAAAAACCGATGCACTATTCTATGTATCTTAGTGTAGTCTACTTGTGTGCCAAGTTATATTGAAATCAGACCAAAACTGTGGAAGGAGTAGCGTTTTAAAGGAATTTCACAGAAAATTCTATTTTTAGTAACCATGGCAACACCGTTCATCGAAATCAAAAACCGATGCACTATTCTATGTATCTTAGTGTAGTCTACTTGTGTGCCAAGTTATATTGAAATCAGACCAAAACTGTGGAAGGAGTAGCGTTTTAAAGGAATTTCACAGAAAATTCTATTTTTAGTAACCATGGCAACACCGTTCATCGAAATTAAAAACCCATGCACTATTCTATGTATCTTAGTGTAGTCTACTTGTGTGCCAAGTTATATTGAAATCAGACTAAAATTGTAGGAGGAGTAGCGTTTTGAAAAATTGTTTACAGACAGACGGACAGACAGACGGACAGACAGACAGACAGACAGACAGACGGACGGACGCCGGACGCATTACTATCGCATAAGCTCTTCTGGTCTCTGACCAGTAGAGCTAAAAACATTTGAATTTGAACATGTGATATTAGATTCACATGTACAGTGGACCTTCAGATATCCGGATACCAGATACCTGGATGCTTCAGTATCCGGGCAATTTTTCACTGGAACAGAATTTTCTAACGTTGTTATGTCTTATTTAACTGGTGATTCAGGTATCCGGATGCTTCACATATCCGGACAAATTAACTGGGACCAAAGCGTCCATATAAATGAGGATCCACTATATAAAGAAGTCTTTGTTAAGACCATCACTACACACACCTGGGAGAGTTCCTGATGGACAGAAGGTGATGCATCTTGACCGTGCTGAATGCCGCTATAACATCCCTGACCTGACCGATCATACTGGTCACTGTGTCCTGGTGGAGCTGTATGGAGGGAGGGGCGTCCTGCATCTGACCGCTGACCAGGACATCTCCACCCACAGAGTCCGACTCCAGCTCAAACAACCGCTGGGACAAGAACGCCTCCAACTACAAAAGATTCCAAAGTAATTAGTGCAGTCTTACCATTGTTATATTGTAGTTAAACATTCCTACTGTTACAAGATGATGAATCATTATGTACATGTAGGTTTATAATCATGCCATCATTAATTCACCAATAACACTGTTTAAAGCAATAAATTGAGATTTATTATATTTTTTTCAATGAATTTAGTCTTACAAATAATTGTTGAAAAACTGAAAAGCATTTTCTAATCCACTTAATTTTATTATAATATTATACCGTATATACTCGCCTATCAGTCGGATTTTTGGGACTTAATCTCTGGTCCAAAACTCTATGTCCGACTTTTAGGCGAGCTATTAAATGAATGGTATTATATGAGGCCAGTCCCTCTGATATATAAGCTTATTAAATACAACCGACTTATAGACGGACCGACTTATAGGCGAGTATATACGGTACATGTATTTAAAAATTATTCATCAATCATTATCATCAATCATTATCCTTTTTACATGTAGATGTACATCTAAAAACATTTTTTTTTATCTGGATATGATATATTAATCAACAATAACAGAGTTCTTGAAATCTTTCGGTCTTGTCGGCAAGACCGATAAAAACAACCAAGGACTGATAACTTTACGTTCTGTGTCAGTCCAAATGACCAGTAGATGTTGAGAGCGCAACTTACGAAAATCCGACTAAATTTCGTACGAATTCCCTATAACCGACCAATTGTAATCTGTTAAACGTTTTTCAGTATCTCGTAATGGCTTCTTCGATGAACGCAAGTACCAAACTATGATTGATTAATTGTTTTAACAAGTTTTTGACGCCGATAAGGCATTAGCCAGGTGAGAAAATTAAGGGGGCCGACTATAGTTTTATTGTGTGAAAACTACAATAGCGAAACTCTTCATTTTTATACCATATATAACTTATATTAACTTGAGTGTACATGCAAAGTTTAGGGGAAATCTACCGTCTAGGTATTTCTTAAGGACCGTCTCAAAATACAGGTACATTTTCCATAGGGTTATATAGGAAAATGCCAATTTTTAGCATTTGAAAGCAAATTATACAAATACTACAATAGACATTTTGTTCAAACTATAATATTTGATGAGTAATACTATATTATACAATTTATGTAAGAGACACAAAATTCTACCGTCTTGTTACCAGAGGGGGCATCTCAAAATGCAAAAAATTAGTAAATTTTACTATTTTTATAGAGTATTACAAAATATGACGTACACAATGTATTCACATGAAAACATAATAGAAATATTGGAGATATTCTCAAATCTCTATGTTTTAAATTTCAAGAGCGTATGTTTATTACTTTTTCTTAAATGATACTTTTATTACCCCTCTCTTTAAGAGCTACAGATTATCATAACATCAAAAACACACTGCGACAACGTCAACCTACCTATCATTTGCAAAATCGGTTAAAAAATCAGTTATATCAAAATGCAATTACATTTTTATACCTATAAAATCTTAATTTTGTTTAATTTTGATAATTAAGCGAAAAAAGTTACATTAAAACAGTAAATACGCTTCATTTTACTATGATGCGCGAAATATTGCGCAATGGAAACTATAGTCGGCCCCCTTAAAAACCTATTAAGAAAATCGACCTCCCACGGGAATTCAACGAAATTTGTTATACGATGATCAAATTCGCATGAAGTATGCAGTGTGTATTGACGGAGGGTGCCAAATGTATTGATAATAAAATTCAAATTCAGTTTTAATCTTTTTAAAATTATGTTTTATTATTTTAATGGACTGATAGAAATCTGTCTGGACCGACAAACTTGCTGTGGCAGTCAGTCCAAATGACTGACAGTGGAAAAAAGATTTCAAGAACTCTGCAATAATGGACTGGTTTTTGATCACTGAAAGTAAAAAGCTTACCTCCATAAGATCATCAATAAACAATGTCCTTGTACGTGGATTGTCCAATAATGACATGGCATCTTCTCCTTTGGCAACACCTTCTAAAAAGATAAATAATCATTAATAATACCAAACTATTCAAATCTCCTCACCATAATTGAATAACAATAATATTTTTAATATACATGTAGTTCACCAGTTTTAACAATTTTACTGAGATTTTGTACCTGCAGAATCGGGTTTGTCCACTATTACGACCTCATTCCAGTCAATGCCATTACTGTCACTCTCATGTCCAGCAGTGGGAGCAGGGTTCTAAAACAATGGTACAGGTATATGTTTCATTTTTACATAGCAAAAATGTTTTCTTTTTTAAGAAAGAGAAAGGAAAGTCAACACTGAAAAGTGTTTGGCTGCAGATGTGCTGTAAAGAACAAAATTCACTTCTTATTATATTTGGCCATGAGAATTTTCAAAAATTTAAGTTTCATATGAATCAAAACTTTATAGTGGAAATAAATGTTGGATATATGCTTGCTTAAAATATAAACCAAAATTTTTAGAATGTGTCCCCATTTAACAATTTAATGGCGGTCAAAACATGCATGGAATACGTATTTCCGGAAAAATCGTTAAAAATCAACTACTTAAAAGCATTTTTCAATAGGTCCGCATCATAACACCACTTTGAAATTTTCTCAGATGAAATATTGATTTAAAAGCATTCTTTATACAAAAAATTACGATGGTGTTATTTTGCGGACTATGTTTATTTTTTAAAAATGTGTAAATTTTTAAACCACCAACACACATGAATAAGACGGAATGGTGCTATAAGACGAAATATTACTCGCCAGTTATCGCTGAAAAATCGTAATTTTATAGGATGAATTCTTCACATCAATATTATGAATATCAAGTCAATGTTATTTTATACATTTAGTTGCAATGTCTTTGTCTATAAAGCCTTATCGATAAAATATTTTAGAAATGCAAGTACGTCATTTTTAAAAATAATGACGTCACAATGGGGGTGTAACATTTTTTTTTATATTAAAATAGATCTATAGGCCTTTGAAGCGTAAGCAATATATACTTACATTTTATCGTAATAACAAAAGGGCAGAGGATAGAAAATGTAAAGATACATTTTTATTGTCAAGAATCACAAAGTATGCATGTGGTCCAAGCATAGACCTATAGCGCCTTATGTCTATGCTATGCTATCCTTATGTCTATCCAAAGAGATGAAAGATATTGTATTAATAATAATTGTCAAAATGTCGTTGAAGATGAACATAATTCTTTATTTGTATGTCCTCTCTATAAACAACTAAGAAGTGAATTTTGTATACTTTTTGATAATACATCATAGGCATAGTCAGTAGTCACAGGGGGGGGGGGGGGAGCGGGGGCATTAGCCCCCCACTTTCAGATCGGGGGGGGGGGGGGGGGCAAGAGTATGTCTGTGCCCCCCCCACTTTTTAATGAAGAACAAAATCACAGCTACTTTGAAATAATATTAAGCCTCATTTTATGGCATTTTTTAAAAGTTCAACAACTGAGTAAGCATTTCTCTTGAAGTAATAGTTGTATAATATAGTAATGTAATATAGTAATTAAATCGTCAAGACCTCCCCCCCCCCACTTTTTTCCCCAACATAACCTTTATTATAGGAGATGTTCATTAAAGGGATAGTTGCCCCCCCCCCCCCCATTTTTAGACCATAGTATAGTGATATCGAAGAATTGTTGGAAAATTGGAATTGAAAGTAACTTGCCTTTGAAAAAAGTTGGCCACTGACCCCCCCCTCCCACCTACGAAATAGGATTTTCGAGTTGGAAAACTTTCAATTTTGTTTTGTTTTGTTTTTTTGTTTTTTTTTTGCTTGTCAAAGAATTTCTGAAGTTGAGCCCCCCCCCAACTTTTAAGTTTGTGACTACGCCTCTGTACATGTAAATCAAATCTTAATATGAAATTCTTAATCCAGCAGATGTTACACCTACAAGAAATATTTGTAATTTCATACGTGATGCTTGTAATATAAGAACATCTATGTGAATATATATTTTATATTTGTTTACTGTATGTATGACTTGCGCCACATGTGGATTTTGTCAAATTGAATAAATAAATAAAAATTCTCCAAGAAAGCATCTGCAAAACTTAAATCCTTATTAAGACACGCATTTTATATATTTTCTAAGAAATTGACACTTAGCAGCGTATTGCAGTGGTTAGACAGAGCATTATGCTCTATAGAGTCGCGTAGTAAGGAATTGATCTTTGCGTCGCGGATTCGAATCCCACTGTGGGACGTGGAGACAGGTTCTTCAGATGAGACCTTATAAACCGAGTTCCCGCGTCGTAGTAGACACGAAAAAAAAATTACCTCATTGCTCAATGACCCTGGATAAGTGCCGAGCATAGGGCAAAATTTCCAGCTCTCCATCGGCAAGTAGTGGCGTCTCCATATGAGTGAAATATTCTCCAGAGGCCTCTGAACATTAAACTACAAGTTAACAATCAATCGATCGATCGTCTCTATATGTACTTGTAATAAGATATCTGTGTTAAGGTGAAAAGTTTCGAAAAGAGCTCATATATGTTCTTAACTTGTATTATATTCTCAGTTTAAGTTTATATATTTTCATGTCGAAAAAATCTTAATTAATTCATCCTACCCTCTATCTAATAAATGAATGGTTAAGTTTTACTCGATAATCCATTTTAACCATAAACATAATTATACTCTTCCAACCTTAAGGTTTCGTCAAAGGTCAACATGTCTAAAAAATCATTTTTACAATAGCTCCAAAACTATGTGTGGTATAAAGTTAAAACCTTTACAGTTTTTAAATATATCATTGATTAATAGATAGAAAGTATCACTTGATGACAAATATTTTTAAAAAGATATTTTTTGAGAAAAATTGTATCAGGAAATGTGCATATTTTAAGAAAAATGCACCTGCTTTATTCTGTCTTTTTTGTGAAAACCATCATTGAAAAAATAATATGTGTTTATCATTGAAGGGCAAGTTGGACTTGAATGGTCTCTGAAAGGCTGTTATTGAAAGCATGACAAGTATAAAGACAAGACCCCTATAAAATCTGCCATTTGCATTGTACTTTCACTTTCAAGTCTTAACATTTGGACAAAATAAACAGGGAAAACAACTTTCCAGAGGCTATCCAAGTCCAACTTGCCCTTCATTGATAAACATATTTTGTTTCTGCAATAATGCTTTTCACTAAGATCTATGAATTAATTAGGTTATTTTTTTGAAAATATATGCATTTTAAGAAGAATTTTTCTTAATTAATATTTTTTCCAAGTATTTTTTTTATCAAGTGATACTTTGTATCTGTTAATCAATGAAAAATTTATAAACTGTAAAAGTTTTAACTTTATACCTCACATAGTTTTGGGGCTATTGTAAAAATAAATTTTTGGACATGTTGGCCTTTGACAAAACCTTAACTTTTTACTTCTCTCTCTCAACTTTATTATGTAAACAAAA